GACCTATTTTGGTAAGTACTCTATTGTAATTGAAGAGAAGGTGTGTCCTGCTACTTTTGCGTAGATTGTTCTATAAATGTGTGTGTGTGTGTGTATATATAATTATTTTTTTCATAGAAGAACTGGGGTGTAGGCTAGAGGTGTAGCGGGTGAAGTGATTCACCAGAAAAAGAGTAGGGAGCAGAACGGTATACTGAAATATACTGCTAAAGGGAGCATCGGGTGAGATAGGGGAGGTCTGCTGTACCATCTGTGGGTTAGCTCCCAAATGTTAAATTTGTTGATAGTGTTACCATTTGAATTGGTTGAACCAGTTTTATGTTTAGAAAAGTTTTGTAGAAAAGTTTTACTCAGTCAGATCCAGTTTGTACCTGTTTGAACCAGTCAGAATGGTTTTGATGTCAATTTTTGGAGTTAGTAGGTTTGGAGTGCGGTGTCCTTAGGTTCACGCTGGGAGAGATTTCACCACAGCACCCCTTTTAGATCACATAATATATAGCAAGAACCCTTAAAACTCCACAGAGCTACTAAAAATAATCAGTTCAGCGAAGTAACAGGATACAAAATCAACACACAAAAATCAGTAGCTTTTTATCCACAATCTGAAGAACTCAAGAGAACCATCCTTTTTATTTACTTATTTTACAGATTGATTTATTTATGCAAAAAGAACTCTGGGGTATAGGCCAGAGGTGCAAGGGCAGTGAAAGGATTCATCAGAGACAGAGTGGGGAGCAGAAAAGGCAGATAGAAGAAGTAACACTGCTGAGGGGAGCAGCAGGCAGGTCAAGAGAGGTCTGCCATGCCATGTGAGTCATTTCTGGGGCTGGGAGCTCAACTGAATCTGTGGCTAGCTTTGTGCTGTGCTTTAACCTGTTACTAGGGAGGGATTTTTTTTTTTTTAAGATTTATTTATTTGTGCATACAGAACTGGGGTACAGGCCAGAGGCTCAGGAGCAGTGAGAGGCTTCACCAGAGACAGAGTGGGGAGCAGAACAGGCAGATCGATGAAGTATACTGCTGAGGGGAGCAGCGGGCTGGTAGGAGAGGTCTGCCACACCATGTGGTCACCTCTGGGGCAGGCGGGAATCGAACTCCTGAACTCCTGCAGAAGCGGCTCTTGATTCTCAGTGCGGTGCTTTAACCCGCTGCCACCAGGGAGGGCCAGGAAGGGATTTTTAAAATCAAAACAAACAAAAAATCAAATACTTGGGAATAAACCTAACAAAAGAGGTGAAGGACCTAAAACAAAGAAAATTATTGTTGATTTTTGAATAAACTGTAGCATCTGAAAGGGACAGGAGATCCCACAATGTGCTCAATCTCCATATCTTTACCTTTGGTTCTGTGCTCTAAACAGTCCCTACAGCAGTCTGATACCTCTTGGGTCTTGTGCTTTGTAATCTAGGCTTTGGCACCTCAAGGTTTTGGTAACTATAGCCAGTGAATGGCAATGCTAATCCCTTCTACCCCCAACTCAGTTTGTGTGAGTCAGTCTTGTGATACTTCCTTTGGATTTTCTATTCCTTCCTCCATCAGTTTGACCTGGTCTTTATCCATTTTGAAACTGTTAGAACCAGTTTGAATCACTTTTATTTCGCCAGTCGGATCTGGATTGATCCATCAGAATCCATTTGGCCAAGATCAGAATTGGTTGATCCTGGTCAGAATTGGTTGAAACAGTTAGATGCAGTTTAAAACTGTGTTTATCCAGTCAGAACCAGATAGTTTGAAGTACTAGTAACTAGTTAGAAATGGCTTTGTTTTAAAAATATAAATATAATAATATAATAGTTTATTTTTACATCATTTTATGCACTTTCCATCTCAGTTGTAATACCCTTGGGCTACCTATCCCCAAATAACCCATATTCCATCACCATAGTCCAGTGCATTTCCTTCCCCCCACTGGTTTTGATCTCATTACCCACTCCACCCCCATAAAATATCTCTGGTATATAGCTGTTCATTATTATTATTATTTTCTCTCCTGGTTGATTATACTCCTGCTACGAGTGAAACCACCCGGTATTTTTCCTTTTCTTTCTGGCTTATTTCACTAAGCACAGTCTTCTCCAGCTCCATCCATGTTGCTGCAAAAGGCATGTGTTTATTATTTTTTAGAAATGGTTTTGTTGAATAGAAAGGAGGCACCATAAGATTGAGTCACACAAGGAGGTAGAAGGGATTAGCATAGCCATTGACTCAGCTATACAAAACCCAAGATCCATAGGCACCAATACCTAGGTTATCAAAGCATAAGATCAAAGCAGGTAGCAGACTGCTGTAGGTTGAGTGTAGAGCACAGACTCAAAAGGTGAAAGATAAAGATATGGAGATGGAGCCCATTGTGGGATCTCCTGTCCCTTTCAGATTCTATTCAAAATCAACAAACCTAAGCTGACAAGGCTTGGGCCCCTCCCAAAGTGAAGAAGTCTCAGGTCTGCATCTGATCTGCACCATGCAGGGACTTCTCCTAGACCTCCCTCAGCTCTCCAACTGTGCAGCTCTCCTTCAACTATGCAGCCTCTCTCAGCAAACCTGTCCCTTTGGGGGCAGCTTTTCCTGAACGCTTGTGCCTATGCAAGATACCTTTACTCCTCTGTCCTTTTCCCCTAATAAACTTGGTCTTTAAAAATAATGGAGAAAAAATAAAAATAACTGTCTCTGTCTCGTGGAGAATCTTGCCTGGGAAATCACCACCAGCCGAGTTGAAACCCTTTCCAGAGTGAACCCAAGAACCCTCCACTAACTCCAAAAAACATCAGTTTGATCTGATCAGAACTAGTTTTAGCCAGTCAAAACTGGCTTTAACAGTTCAGTACTGTGTGATCCAGTTGGAACCTGACAGAAGATGTTTAAAATGGCTCTATGTGGTTAGAATTGGTTTGAACCAGTTTAAACCAGTTTGAATCTTTCAGAACCAGTCAAAAACTGGCTTAAGCTGGTTTCATCTGGTCAGAACCATTTTGATTTGGTTTTATTTGGTCTGAACCTGTTTGAACTGCTCAGTACTGTTTTGATCCATATTGAGCTAGTCAGAACTGGTTTGAGTCAGTCAGAACCAGTTTGAACTAATTTTCTCCATTCAGACCCAGTTAAAATCACTTTTTTTCAGACAGAATTAAAACCCTTTTGAACTGGTTTCTTCTGAGCCGAATGAAACTGAACTGGTTTGAACTCATCTGAACCTGTTTGAGTTGGTTTTCTCTGGCCAGAACTAGAAAAACTCTCAGCACCAGTAAAAGCTGATTTGAACACTTTTTGTCTAGTCAGAACTGCTTTCTACTTATTTGAACTGGTTTCATGCAGCCAGAACTGGAAAGCGATCTGGATTAGCCATTTTTTTTAAACAGCTCTCTTCCCAAGGCTGCCTTTCTGTAACTGTACAGGTGCCTTTTTTTTTTTCCTTTTGCTAATAAATCTGTCCTTAAAAAAGCCAGTTTTTTCCTGATTTGCAAATGAGACAAAACCAATAATGAAAGAAACCATTTTGTAGGTTAAATTTTCCTTTTTAACTAATATACTATAGACATTTGGCATAATTTAGGTAAAAATTCATCTTCTAGACAAAATATAGAAAAATGGTATCAGAAATATGTTAAAGAGCATATATGACTTTAATGTACAATGAATAATGGAGTATGAAACAAATAGGTTACACTAGACTCAAGTGCTGAATCTTCCTATTCTCTGTATTAAAATACAAGGACATTAATCTTCCTTATTTATCTCAATCACTGAGTCCATCAACAGAACTTGTATGGATGTTGTATATAAGTCATATATATATATATATCCTTTTTAAAACATTTATTTACTCATACAGAGGTGGGGTACAATCCAGAGGTGAAGGGGTGGGTGAGAGGCTTCACCAGAGACAGAGTGGGGAGCAGAACAGGCAGATCGATGAAGTACACTGCTGAGAGGAGCAGTGGGTGGATCAGGAGAGGTCTGCCATGCCTTGTGGGTCACCTCTGGGCAGGGGATGGAATCCTCACTGAAGCAGCTGCGGCCAGCTTGTAGTGCTGCGTCCTAACCTGTTGTGCCCCCAGGGAGGGCCCAAGTCCTATATATATTATCCCAATCAGATTGTAAACAGAATACCAGCAATGTTTTATATCTAAGGGTGCAGAGGACATGGTAAATATTCTTTCAATGATGATTAAATGTTTGCCAGAAGTAGAAATTTATATTAGTATCAGAACATATTAATACAGGCAAACCTGGGCCTTAAGTTCTGGGTCCCCTGTTTAGCTGGCTGTGTGGCCCTCCTTAAATTGCTTAAATTTGTACTCTTATTTGTAAAGTGAGGATAATAATAGCTTCTCCCTCATAAAAGCCAAGTAAGGTTTATAAAACCTTTGAAATAAAACAAGATTCATGAGCGAGATGCTTCTAGTTTGTCCAACCTTTTCATTCTACATTCAGCCTATTAATTTAACCTAAAAGTACATTTTTTTTAAAGATTTATTTATTTGTACATACAGAACTGGGGTATAGGCCAGAGGCTCAGGGGTGGCGAGAGGCTTCACCAAAGACAGAGTGGGGAGCAGAACAGGCAGATTGACGAAGTACACTGCTGAGGGGAGCAGCGGGCAAGTCAGAAGTCTGCCACACTATGTGGTCACCTCCAGGGCCAGCGGGAATCGAACTCATGCGGAAGTGGCTTTTAGCTTCTCAGTGCAGTGCTTTAACCCGCTGCGCCACCAGGGAGGGCCAACCTAAAAGTACATTTATCTCTAATTGCATACAGTTCATGTTCATAAGCAAGTTAACTAGAAAATTTATGTTAGCCTTAAAAAGAGCAACATAGAATAAAGTCACATTTAAAGCACTGAAAACCCATACAAAGCCTCACCTATGTTAAATCAGGATTCCAGAAATAAATTATGAACCACTTATGATCTCGGAAACCCCAACTGACTGATGCAAAAGTAATACTGTAAAAGACATGTAAAAGTAATACAGTGCTCTACATACTATCTGGGGCCTTTCTATGCAAAATCTGATACAATAGGTCTGGAATGGGTCCTGAGATTCTAGTGGGATACTCTGATACTTTCATTCTAAAGCTAATGATCAACACATTGAAACTACTTATTCAAGTTCAAGGAATATATGAAAAAGGCCATATTTGCAAAAGTATTTATTTATATACATTTTAAGCTCACATTAAAACTTCTAGAAGAGAGTAAGATGAAATATACAAAGTTGATAGAAACACATATACACTGATCTTTATCTGAAAAGAATCATATAGATGGGTTTAGATGAACTGAGGTCATCCTGCAAAAAACCAATGTTCCTTTAAATCGTGCTGTGAAATGTCTTCCCATAGATTAAATTTAACTTGTATCATTCAGAAAAGCTAAGAAAAAGATACCTTGAATTTATTATTAACCAGCTATTCACATGCATTAGCCCAAAGTTTTGTGCCTCATAATTGCACATCTCATCATTTATACATTGCTGAGACATTCAGATAGGTCCAGATATGATCAAATGAATGTCTTAAATGTGAAATGCTTTGGTTATTAGGCTTTGACTTGGTTTTTGGCATTACTTTTATAATTATGTCATTCCAGTGAGTCATTACAGATAATCCATTCAAAACAAGACTTGCTTAATAGGATTACAAAGCACTCAGTCTTGACTTGATTGGAAATACCTTTAAGATGCTGACAACAGTAACACAGAATCACAAAAATAAAAGCTTTATTCTCCACATGCTAGAGTCCACCATAAAGCCTTACTCATTCTTAAAAACAAAGTTCCTCATAGTAATGCCTACCCTGGGTATTAGTACATTATTGAAATACTAGAACTGTAAGTGTGCCTCTTCTACCCTGAAGCCTATAGCTTTGTAATCCATTTCTATAAAATATGCTTAAGATTAAATATAAAAGCAGTGCATTTAAAGCTTCTGGGAAGAATTCATATTTTAAAACCTGGCTTTATTTAGACTTTTAGAAAAATAAATATTGTGGCTGGTCCTATTCCTTCACTCCTTTAAAAAATTTGAGCTTATGAGTTCAGGCATCTAAAAACCAGAAGAAAGCAAAATAGAATACAATTTCCTTTTTCTTAGTGTGATAAATTTATCACAAACGCCAACTTGATTCTCTTGCAATGATGATCTCATCTTCTAGGATTAATTTTATAACTGCTCCTAAGAAATCAAAAGAATGTTTAATGAGTGCTTTAAGTAAACAGCCACATGCCTATAAGCCAATATATAATTTGTGGTTTTTCTTTTATTTGTGATTTTTAAATTGTACTATTATAAAGTCTGAAAGTAAAATCTAAATATTTAAAGTTTAAATTTAATGTCTTTATGCTATAAACCATGTTATAAAGGACCAGTTAAATTCACATTCCAAACTACTCTATAAAAATAAACAGCAAATAATACATATATTAAGCAAATTTAATATATGTATTTCTCATGTTCTTTCTTCCCCGATCTTGCAAATATGCTAAAGCAAGAAATTAAAAACCTGGATGGTTAAATTAACTTTCACTTGAGCAGCATTTTGGATTAAGGGAGTCTAAAACTTTCCAGAAAGTCCTTTTTACATTCATTATACAGCATTTTATATACATTTAAATAACATCTTTATAGGAAAAATTAATTTATACTTCAAAATGTAAAAAATAAGGAAGTACACCATATGATCACGTGCTAAGACAGCTATTTGAGAAATGTTTGGTGTTTACTTTTGTGTTAATAAACTTGTATAACTTGAAGCATATCACTTAATATACCAGAGATGCTTATTTTTAATCTTGTTCTAGGCCTATCCAGTTTTATGTGAAAAAAAAAAAAAATGTGTTAAAGCCAATGCCATACAAGTAGTTGAGATTATAGAATGTTTTCTGTGGAGGAGAAAGATTATAAAAGGCATGATAGGGAAGGATTACAATTCTTTTTCCAGTGGGAAATTAAGATTTCCTGATAAGTGTCCAAAGATGAAAAGGTCCATTTCAGGAGTGTGAACTTACAGTCTCACAAATAACCATACTCTTGTCAGGGCTTTTGTCATAATGAGGACTTCTTTGTTGGTAGGTAGGATTATAAGCAGATGGTTAGGCTGTGAGGAACCCAAAGTTCCTTGATGCAAGTTATTTGTTGAGATTGAGTATCTGACATTAGATGACTTCTTAGGGAGTCTGTGTCTTCTTCATTTCCTGCTGTATAAAGTGGTACTGGATTTTTCTTTTATGCCTTCTATAAGTCCATGGACTTGGCTTTCCAGAAGTACACCAAAGTGAATTTTTCCTATCTAATTACTCTCCCATGCAAACAAAAAGGTGGCTGTAATAAGTTTTGTTAGTGTACTGTACCATGTAAATCCTCTAGCAGTTGTTGGTAGAAGTAGGTTAGAAGCAGAGATTTTCCTTGGGGGAAAAATTATCAATCTAAAATGTGTTCTGGTCTTCAAATGGGATAAAATGGCCTATTTCATTCTCCTTTACCTCAGCTGACATGCCAGTGCTTACTGTAAAAAATTCCTATCATATCTGAGGTGTAAAGAACCTATATTAAACAAGCAAATAATAAAAACTCTTTGAGTTAGGTTTTCTAATTCTAAAATAAGATTTCTCAGAAGCTAAAACTCACTAACAATGTAAAAATAAAATTCTCATGAAAGCTGTAAATAGAAGACAAATAAATAAGGTCATGTGGTTTATAATTTTAAATTCTTAAAGAGGCCCAACAGTATATCAGGAAGACAGTTTAAAGCATTGTTCCCTGAGGTCTTGAGGCAACTCCAATTATAAGTTCATGAACTCCAAAACTTCAGTCTCTCTCTCTCAGCTGTCTAAGAGTAGCTATTTACTCCAAGTGTTTTATTCAGTTCTTTCCCTATAGTTCAAATGCTTCAAGAATGTGGCTTTATCCATTTCCTAGAAGGCAAGATTCCAATGAAATTTCTGAGAAGGAAAAAAGAGACCGCTTAAAGAGAGTAAAGCTTTAACATTAGCTAACAGTTCAGATGAGTAAATCAGTTTTACATCTATAACACAGCAATAGTGGTAATACTGTCAAAGATGTTAGAAGGTAGAGTTCTATGGACTTTTCTAACCTCAGTGATTGAGGCCAACTACCTTATCAAGCAGAAAGTCTACTAAAATAATTGAAAGGATAAAAACTATTAGAAACAGAATCATTTTTCAATACCAAAATATATAAGAAAACATAAATTTGTTTTAAAATCAAGTTTAAAACAACCAGCTAATCAGCTCTCCAACTTGAAATAGTGGGTAAGTAGAGTAAGTTAGTATATAATAATGATTTTTTAAAATTCATTCAAAACTGGGGTTTTAAGGCTCTTAATTGTTTTTTATGTATCTACCTTCTTGGAAGCTATTACAATTTTTTTTAATTATTACAACAATTTTTAAAAATTCAAAACTTAGGAAAAAATTCAAACTTGTAAATTTACAACTCTAAGAGTCTATTTAGTAAAACTAATTATAATGACTAGAGACTCCAATTCTGTTTTAGGTTAGATTAGGCTTTACTCCATTGAAGGTTTTTTAAAAAGTTACAAGAACCTACTGAAATGTACCATCCATTTCAGTAAAGTGCACAAATAAGAATTTATCCTTTGGCTTGGTTAAGACCTCAAAGGAGGTGTAGAAGTCAGTGGTGCTGGTGTCAGATTCCTGACTATGTTACTGAGGCTGGCGATCTTCTCTTCTAGGAGGTAATTTTTCTTCTCTGCCGTTTTTTGTCTCTGTTCAGTCATTTCCAGAGCTTTCAACAACTGGGCATTTTCAACATACAAATCCTTCACTATTGCATCTGTTTTTGTATTCTTGCAGAGCTAGAAAGAGAACCAGAAACATCTTGACTCCATTTCTCTAATTCTTTAAAATTTAAGATCAGGCATTAGAACAGTTGTTACAATTCTATCAATCATGTTTTATTTTAAACTTAACACTAACATCAGACCTGGCATCGGGATACAATTAAAGCAAATCCAATTATTGCAACTATTTGTTTTCTTAATGAACATACTGATATTTGAGGACTCAATAATGAAAGTTTTTCCCATCTAAGCAAAGTAGGTGCCATTCATGTATTCATTCTCTAAAAATATCAAAATACTTTTGTAAAATCTCTGATATGTCTGGTGGGAATTGTTTAATTCTGTTGTTAACAAATGTGTTAGCTTTCCATTCACAGTATTACAACCTAGTGATTATTTTGAATCAATAAATATTTATTGTACATTTATTGTTTCCATTCTTTCTATTAGGATGTAAGACCAAATAAAAGACAAAGGACAGTTCCTATTCACTTCTGAATTAAGACTCACTTGAGGTTATTCTTCTTATGTCTTATGTATCTAGAAAACCAGGTTGGGCTACTTCTGTGACACCTTCTTCCATCCACATCTGACCAGTTTTCTTAGATTCGAGAGAAGCTATAAAATTTTCTAGAATAAGTAATCCTTTTTGCATGCCTCTTCAGTGGACACACAAATAACTTCTAAACACTGAGTTCCTGACTACCACCAGCAGGTGGGATGGATCAAGCTGTGTAAAGTTCCTGAAATTCAGGATCTTGATTATAATTCAGAGCATGGCCTGTAGGGAGTCTGGCTGTAGCTTGGTATAGGTAATTTTTTGAGTTTGTCCTGATTGTTGCAAAAAGAAAAGCTGAACTTTCATTTATTATCTCAGAGCCAAAAAATCTTTCCATTTATTTAAATAATGAACATTTCCTGTTTGGGGCTGAAAACATACATAAAAATTAAAATTCGAGTTGCTGAGCCTCATTAGAAATGCTTTAGGTTCATATAGGTCACTGTAAGCAAATAAATATATGCCTTAGCAAAAAAAATACCATCATTAAAATGATACTCTACTGAGTGGGATAAAAAATATTTGTATGTCATTCATCTGAGAAGGTCTGAGATCCAGATCTATAAAGAACATGTATAATTCAAGACCATAACACCCAATCAAAAATGGGAAAAAGAACTAAGTAGACAAAGAAGACATATGACCAATAGGCACATAATAAAAATGTTTATCATTTCTTTTCAGGAAAATGCGAATCAAAACAGAGACATCTCACATATTGAGAGTGGCCAGTGTCAAAAACACCAGAAACAAGTGCTGGTGTACCAACACTGTTGGTAAGAATACAGACTGGTCCAGTCCCCATGGAGGGCAGCATGGATGTTCCTCAAAATATGAAAAATAAATCTATCTCATGATTCAGCAGTTCCACTCTAACTAAACACTAAATTGAAGGGATATATGCACTTCTGAATTCACTGCAGCACCACTTATGACAGTGAAGTTATGGAAGCAATTTAAATGCCTAAGGACAGATGAGCAGATTAAGAGCATGCAAAGATACAGCAGGGGAGGAGGAGGGAGAGTGGTCAAAATGGGAGAGAAGAGCATGAGGGACTGTGGTGATAGTTCACAGGTGATAAGGTGGTGGGACATTTATGGGGATTTATTCATTTATTGCACAAAAATGAGTAACAATGTAAGGGAAAAAATGAGATACACACACACAGGACTATTACTCAGCTATTAAAAAAAAAGATGAACTCTTGCCATTTGTGACAACATGAATGGAACTTGAAGGGATTATGCTAAGTGAAATAAACCAGAAGCAAAAAGAAAAACACTGGGTGGTTTCATTCATGTGTGGGCCACAGGGAAGCAAAATACTGGGTCAGACAAAAACAAACCCTAGAAATCTGACTGTAAAATTGAGAATACCAGAAGGGAAGGGAAAGGCTTGAGGAAGGGGAGGGGCCCAATGGTCGATGGTGGAGGATTCTGGGTGCTTTAGTAGAGGGTGTGGTATGCTAACATATCTGAAGGGGTATAAACTTCTATTTCTGAGTCATATGCCATGTTATTAGCCAATGTTACTACAATTTAAAAAAGCCTTAAAAGACCTTTGGAAAAAATAATGTTAAGATACAGAATTCATAGTTTTGTAGTATGGAGAAGATAGAATCTTAAACTTTCTGGTAGATTTATAGTAGAATTTGCCTATATTCTACTATAAACAAACAAACAAACAAACACAGCAAAAGTTATTTTGAGTAGCAATATAGGGATGTAAACTGCAGTTAAAAGTGGAATGTGGGCCTTCCCTGGTGGTGTAACAGGTGGAAGCACACAACAGTATGAGGCTGTCCACAGCCACCACAGCATGAGTTCAATCTCAGCCAAGGAGCTGACCCACAGGGCACAATAGACCTCTCCTGACCCGCCCACTGCTCCTCTCTGAGGTGTATTTCAGTGCATCTGCCTGTTCTGCTCCCCACTCTGTCTCTGGTGAATCCTCTCACCCCCTGCACCTCTGGCCTGTACCCTGGTTCTTGTATGCGCAAATAAATAAATCTTAAAAAAAAAAAAAAAAGTTGAATGTGAGGTGGAAGTGTAGAGATGACCTGGAAGGCTCACTTGTTCTTTAAGCTGATTCACTTTCTCCTGAAGAAGCATTTTGACCAGTTTCAATTTCTGTTCAACTTCCATCATTCGTTCTTCCATGACAGTTACAAGTTCTTGGTTTTCCTGAAGGAAGAAAAAGTGCATTCTCATTTGAAAATCATGCCACACTGAAAGTTCTTTTCCCCATAAGATGCCCAGAGAAAGGGCAGCAAATGTTTGTCTTTGTAACAGAGGATGGATTTCTGATGAAATGGAAGTTCTGAATGCGGCATAGTTTGCACTTTTAGAAAAGTAACCCTATCAGAGAATCAAAGATAAAAATAAAAAACTTACCTAGGTTACCATCTTCCCCTGAGATAAAAATCCTTAAAAACCCCAATTTAATACTTGTACACACTTCTTGTAAAATTGGTATCCAAAGTAAATTAAAAGGTGGCTGTCAATTTCCCTTTTGTAATTTGGTCTTTGCAATGACAGGGTAAATGACAAAACAAAAACTGGGTTTATTTATGGTCCCTTTAACATGCCAATCAGCCTGTATTTTGAGTGTCTGTTTTTCCTTTGAAATGGCTCATTATTGTGAAGATGTTAAGTGTTTCTTTTTTCATAGTGCCAGCCTCTGTCAGTTATTCTAGTCATTTGTTTTCCAATATGACATATCAGTATGAAGCAAACATCTGGATTGGAGGATGGACTTATCATCAAAAGACTTAAAATTTAGTGCCTTCTCTCCACAAACAACTTCTAAATAAAAGAGGGAAGGAAAAAGCCTGTTTTTTTCTCCTCTCCTCATAGCAGTGATAAATTATGGCATATGGGTTTTGGAGAGCAGAGAGACTTAGCGAAATAATGTATTAAGTAACTGTTTCCCAATCCCGAAATGTCTAGGTAAGGAATTTCAGATATTAGAAGCTTCTTCAAATGTTTAAGCAAAATTCAGTTGTCTGTGGTTGATGGCAAAACCTGCCTTTTAAAATATTCCGAAAAAAGGCATCCTTTAAAAAGCATGTAGAATGATTGTACATGAGCTGAAAGCCAACACTTGTTTGAATATGAAATAACAATTTATTCAAAAATAAAAAATAAACTAGACCTATTATAACTTTGTCTTAAAAAATCTAATGCAGAAAGTAAATTTGAAGGAATCAGGCCTTGTGAATATTTAGTTTAAAAAAAATCTAATCCTACATTTTAAAAGCTGTTACGTTTTAAAAAGTTCAAATCTAACTGGAAAATGCCTGATTTTTACTTGTCTCATAAAAGCTAAACAAAGAAAAACAAAAGCCCCATAATAATTAACATGAAGACTACAGAGCGTGGCAAGAGTGTGGGGTGAGAAAAACAAAGGCAGTCATATATTGAAATTTTATTTTATTGCTTCGTCAAAATTTTCCTGTCAAAAAAAGTATCATACATCTTTTACAAAACAGTATAAATAACCCTGATTTTTTTCAAATTCCATATATAAAAGTAGTACCTTTTGTTAAAAATAGTTACAGCATATGGAATGAGAAAATATATAGAATACATCCTTTCAAGAATCTCAAAACCACACTTTTAAAATGGCATAAATAAAATTATTGGTAACAAGCTGAAATTTGTGAATCTGATTCACAAAATCTGTCATTGCTGTATAAATAAGACATAATACTGTAAAGGTTTAACAATAATAATAATAATAAATAATAATTTAAAAGAGCACTTGACTCAAAACATTTCTTAGCTTATGTCTGTGTGTGTATATATGTGTGTGTGCATGGGTGCATGAGAGAGTGTGTGTGTGTGGTATGGATATGGGTGTGGTTGTGCGTTTTGAGTATCTGCAGGGTAAGAAATGCCATCAATAGCAGCCCAGTTTTCACAGGTGCCCAATCCTTCTGTAGGAATCTGCATGCACTGCTCGCTGCTCCGGTAGCAAGGCCTAGAGAAAGAAGGCAAGTGGTACACTTCACCCTGATGTCAAGATTATGTTGGGGGGAGGGGGAGAGGGGTGTCTCAAACTGCACATTTATAATGCAGACAACTTTTAAAGCACACACAGTAACACTACATAGGCAAGCAAAGCAACACAAAGCAGAAGATACCACATCATTCCACGCACAGACACAACGTGCAGATTCTAAAAATGGCCTGTTTCTTTAAAATTAGTGGCAGCCTAGTTACCAGAAATGGGAGAATCTACAGTAGCATGCTAATGAGGGCAATGAGTAGACTACCCTGCCTGGCTGGAGGAATTTCATTTTTTAATGTATCAAAATCTTAACAGTTTTTGTCTGTCTAGTCATGATGTTATTGAAAAAAAAAAAAAGGATGTGGTTTATTTATTTAAAATATTTATTTTTGCATAGAAGAATGAGGGTATAGGCCAGAAGTGTGGGGGACAAGAGGATCCCCCTTTCTCAGGGTGGGGAGCAGAACAGGCAGATTTACTGAAAAACACTGCTGAGGAGATCCGAAGGCCCGGTCAGGAGAGATGTGCTGCAACATGTGGGTCACCTCCCTGGCGAGGGATCCAATTCAGACAGTAATGGTGATGGTGCTGAGACTTAACCCCTAGCCTACCAGGGAGGCCCTGGATATGTTTGTTTTTAACAATGGGTGAGTTGGGGAAAGCAAGCTTTCAAAAATGGTGTGTATGAGAGAGTAATGACTAGAATGTTAGCCCTATCATTTCGTGTAAAATGTCCACTAAAAACTAAAGTCAAACTTTTACAATTTAATTCTGCAATGAAAAATTGAAGCATTTGGCCAATATGCCACCATCACAATTTTAATTTTAATTGAAGAATTTAAAATTTGGAAATTGAAGTAGAATATAGAATCTTTTTAAAATATGGGTTTTAAAGCAGAAAAGACAAAATTTTAAAGTTTTGTCAAACAGATGACAGAGGTACATCACAACAAAGCATAGCTATACAGGAGTAAGGGAACACCCTGTTCCAGTGTATTATTACAGAGCTAACGTGACTTTGCAAAGTCACTTTGAAGGAATTACAAAAAGAATTGGGAAATTCCTTATTACAGGTCAATAGAAAGGCAAGGTACTTGAAAACATAAACTGAACATCCGAGGCAAAAAAACTAGGGCCCTACACAAAGAGCTAATTCAGAGCTAAGAGACTTCTAAACAAGAATGATTATGAATAAAGCACTGAAGAGAAATAACTATCTGAAAACTTAGGCAATGAAGATTACATCCAGTAATGAGCTGGATTCAAGCTAACTTAAAGGGGAGGAGAATGTGGTTTTTACTTTCTTAAATAATCTATATTAAAAGTCACTGGTGACTACTTTCTTAGTTGTGAAAAGCGCCCACTGTGAATTCCATGGGATTCATAAGGCTGCACATCTCTGGTATAAGGAAACCCAGGATGGTTCCTCAGAAACACACATCATAGAATATTTTTGGCAACAGACAATTTTGTCAGGTCATTTGTGCACTATACTCAAGGGGTTATGATAGCTATTTACCAATAACAAATGTGCAAGGGAGACCCAAAGCACTCAACTGCCCAACTTAGAAGCTGAGTGTTCAAAAATAGCACTGCAACAATAAAACAAACAAAAAAAGCACTGCAGGTGTATGGATTTGTAAGGCGGGTAAAGTGTAATCCTCAGAAGATTTAGGTTCTTTCTCTACACCTTTGAACTGGTTTAACTTTCAAATCAACAGGCAAAATTAGACGACCTGAATTCACTATTTGAGAAAAAGAGTCTCATACCTGTGGTGTGTTGGTTTCAGAGGTCCTATTGTCAAGTTCCTCCTGCAGGCGCTGGTTTATCCTTTCTGCCTGCAGTAGCTGGTGTTGAAGCTGCAGAAACTGCTCCCTGGGCACCATTGGGCAGGCCTGCTGCTGGAGCAGCTGCAGACCCCAAGCACGAGGGGTTGGGCTAAGCATCGCAGTGGACCTCAGGTGCTGCATCTGGAGAACAAGGCAGAGCCCTGGTCAGCTGCACGGTCTTTAGTCACAGACTGGCCTGAAGGTGGCGGGAAGGGAGTGATGAAGTCTGTGATTTAATGGCCTCCCATGCTCACTGATGACTTGGAAATAACATAGCACAAGCACATACTAAGAAGCAAATGGGAAGAGGAATTTTGCCTGGGAGGTAATAGAACTGATAAAATTTCTTAAAAGTTTTAGACGTAAAAATGGTATTTTCTCACCTCACTTTTAAATGACTGTAAGGGCTGGAAGTACACACTATGTCTGAATTTTACTGTTTTTCTGACACTATTATATTTCATCATGCCTCTTATTTTTAGAAACAAATGGGGTTGAAGTAGGCAAAGAAAAAAAATTGCCAATTTACTTACTGTTCATAGAGATTCTTAAAAGTAAATGTTCAATGACAACATATTCCCCAAGTCAGCAATCTCTTTGAAGAATCTCATCCTGCATCTAAAATTATTTTAACTTATCTTAACTTACCAATGCTATTCCATTAAACAGCACAATAAGATTGGCAGCTCTGGCACATAAGGTGATATCCCAACAGCTGGGAATTGAGGTACATGAAAAAAAGTATTTGTTCAAGATAATGAGGCAATGGTGTGCATTATCACATGCCAATCAGAGCTGGGGAGAAGATGACATTGCATTTGGCCAGGGGAACATGCCACTTTCTATCTGTCAGCACATGAGCAGACACAGGGCACCCCAGAGGCATGCAGCAAACATGACAATCTCAAGAAACACCTCCATGGCTGTGAGCAGGGAAAATGACCCGCTAAGACACAGTGCAATAAACATTATCAAGAAACTTCAGAGCCAACAGCCATTTCTTTAATCTGAATTTCTGAGGTGGGCTATTACCAAGTTGAAATACTTTTAGTATTTAGAAAGCCCATAACTTAGCTCTCAGGAATATGGAATACGGAGAACTACCACCCCACGGTTTTGTATAAGTGGGATGATTTTCTTCACACATTCATCTTTTTAAATACTGAGGAAAATCAATGTAAATGTACACAGAAACATAGTTCACAATTGAAGTGAAATGAAATGAATATTGGCTCTTATCTTAAGTATTTATTAACTCTTATTAGTCAGTAGGAATGATTACATGAACAGGGGTTAATGAGATGTTGCCATGCTATGAAATTCATTAAAAGAGAATGTTCTACCTTCACACACTATCTCAGGCAGAGAACTGCACCCTTCTCTGCTAGTCCCAACCACAGAGTTCTAGGTACAGGTTAGCCACAGACAAAACAAAACAGATAAAAGAAAATTATAGGAGTTACAAAAAGAGAAAGTCAAAGAATTGAGTTATACAGAAAAAGAAGAGCATAAATTTGGTGTATCACGCATCTACATGTGCTTGAATCAGTAAGAACTTATGAAGGACCAGCATTTACATTTCTCAGTATATAAATTTCATAGATATTAAGTGCTTTGTAAGTCTAAATCAGCAGCCACTCCTCAATTACCATAATTTGGTTGGTCTATAAGCTTGCTATCTTTACATCCACCCACGCCAATATAACAACTGGGAAGTCTCCAGGTCCAGTATGGAATGAACTTTATGTTCAATACCTTTGGAGATACATAATATAAACTATAAAACATGTTTGTCATTCAATTATCTGAACTGTGGGCTATTAAAAGTATACCACAGACTTGAGAACTACTAACCACTTTTACTAAGTGTTCTAAATGAACAGTTTATAGAAACTGTCTCACATAGTTGAAACCTGATATGGAGGTCAAATTCTTCCATTTCCTAGTGTAGTCATCTGGCATATTTAATTATACTGGGTTTGAGGGTATACTACATTAGTCAGTGTCTTTTAAACTGCCATGTGGGAATGAAGAGAGATCCTTCCCCCAAGAGAGTGCATGTATTATATAGGCACCACTTAGAAAACTTTACTTAAATTCCTTGATCCTGAAGATTGTGATGCAGGAAGATCTCCATATCATCCACTAGTCCTCACCCAAACCTGATAGAAACTCCAGCCAGATTGAGGATGGACTGTACTTACCCCTCAGGTGAGGTGGGCACCTAAAATAAGGTGTAAAAACCACTAAACATCTCAAAAATTGCCTAATCTAGTGATATTGTAACCTTAAATTTCAGTTTGTAGGGTAGGGAGAAGAGGAAGTTATTATGTAATGGTTAGATTTTCAATCGGGGCAATAAAATCTTGGAAGTAGTGATGACAGTTGTAGACAGGGTGAGTGTAATTAATGCCAGCGAATTAATTGTCAAATTGTTATAAATCTATCACAGTTTTAAAATTAATAAAATGTACCAAAACTATTGAACTCTTCACTTTTAATGAGTAAATTACATAGTATATACTATTATTTCCATAAGGCTGCTAAGAATACAATTTGTATATATCTGTATAGAATTAAGCTCAGTCTTACTTTCTTATCAAAGTTTTACATGCTTTTCTTTAATCAGCCCCAGTGCCAAGAATACTCATTTTCCTGTATCCATAAGCAAGTGAGAGCAGGTGGAAGAGGACTGGTGGCCCACTGTCAGAGCATTTAGACAGGATTTAACACTGGTTAAGTATACCCTGTTACTTTTCAATTTCGTACTAGACAGATCAGGTTTAACTTCAGATATCTTACTCATTAGAGTATACAATTATTTCATCAGAAAAGAATATCTTCATCTAAACATAGCCTGAAACTCAGAAGCTTTGAACACATTTATTATATACTGTCAGAGAATGAAAAAGTGGTTTGGCTATTGCTATATATAGTTTCACTAATCTACCCCATTAGCAGATAAATCAGAAAGACAAAAAATTGCTGGAAACCTCATTGGTCATTTAAATGTCAATATGGTATGTCTACCCATATCTCTTGTTCGAAAACCAAGAATCTGTTTAAAGTAACCTTTGCATGTGCCCAGCTTCATAAAAGAAATATTTAAATATCTCCCTATAACTCTAACTTAACAAATATCTGTATAAGAAATATTTTAAGAATACAAATACACATTTTCTAACCTAATCCTTTCTACCTCACCTAGTAGAATGAAAACTTGATATCCAAGCTGACTAACTTTACAAACCCATTTTTATATTTAACAGAGGTACCTCTCACACAGTAGTGCTGATTTGTAAATGAATGAACAATGGTAAAAACTAGAAGTACTGGATTCATAAATGCTGGTGCTCTCCTAAATGATTTCTGAATTGCTGCGGTTGTTAGAAAGCAATCGCATCTGGAACACTCTGCAGTATGGCAGGTATTGGGAAGCTGATACGATCACAGCAAGGTGAGAGAATTTTGGGCCCCTTGGTCAGCCTCAGACAGAAGTGCCACTGTTGAAATACAGGTCCTTGTGTCTTAGGAAAACTTATAGTATTCCTTCCTCTACAAAGCAGCATGAAATCCTATCATTGTGTAGGTAAGTAAACCTATCAAACTTGGTAAGATAGATAGATCAAAGAATTCAGTTTGTCAATGTACTTAGGTTTTCATTTTATCATAATAGGAATTCAATACTATGCTATTCTTTCCCAACAAATGGTTCATTTATGGATTAAAATATTTTTCATAGCAAGGGTCATTTGCTTAAAAATTTACCTCCATTAACTGCTCATCCAGTTTTACTTGTTTCTTTTTCAGGCCTTCATTTTCCAAATGAATTGTTTCTAGTTCTTGTTCAAGCAAATTAATCTGACTGACCTGTTAAGTAAAAAGATTCCTTTAAAAATACCAAACAGAATCAACTGAGTTGCTATGTTGTTTGCATTTAAAAATCCGTGCTAGTCAGAACTCTTCACTCTAGAAGAAAGCCAAGTTACTTTATTGAGGGACAATAACAAATAATGTAATTCAGGATATAGAAAGCACACTTAGCCGTACAGCTCATCCCATGGTAGCCAGGCTCTAAGATGGGCCACAAGATACCTTCTTCCTGATATTCACACCCTTATGTGGGCTGTAGCTAGCTTTTGAGTGAACTATATCAGGGTTCATATGGATAATCAACAAGTAGTGCAGAAAGGATGGCATGTCACTTCCATGATTAGATTATAAAAGGTAATACAGGTTCTCTTAGTCTTTTGGAATCTCTCTTTAACTCACAGAAACTGTGACATGACATGTCACAGTTTTAATTTGTTACACAGTAATGACAAATACAGTCAAATCAAGACATTCCTAATATTCAGGTATATTTTACTAACTTATAAAATCTTGCAATATTAATGAAGATGATTACCTGTCTTCTTTATGAAAGTTTAACTTTTCCTTTTTTCAGCCATCATGCAAATGAAAAAAAACTGTGATATTGTTTTAATAAGATTATAAGAGCATAGATACATGGAAGAACCAAAATTCATCATTGTAACCATTTCCTTGGAAGCAAGGAAGAAACACACACCTAGAGGATACATCAGTCATGATAGAGATGCAAGGTATACTAAAAAACTCACTTTTTTATTAGTAGATCGTTCCTTTTGGAACTGCTCACAGTCTCTCTTTAAGCTCAATTTCTCTTGTTCTGTGGATTTCGTACTACCTGATGGGTTTAGATGCTTTTGGTGTTTGGGGGTAGGAAGTTTGGATTCCAGCTGACGAACCTAATAAGAAAAAATGTAAGAAGAAGAAATGCTAATGTAGTAATTCAACCAGGAAAAATAAATGACAAACATAAGGAAAGTTTTAATTTAATTTTTGGATTTTGCTATATCAAAAAACCCCTTTTTGTTGTTCAGCCAGCTTGCCAATTATTGAAGTCAACTTTCTGGATTTCAAACTATTTGTAGGTAATTCTACTTTTAGTCTGGTTGAATCTATACACTCAACATTATTATGACTAGAGAGTTAAGGGGGGACTGTCCCTTGTTTGTCTCAACAAACAAGGTCCTTGGCACTTTTGCTCTGTCAGCATATGCCTATCAGGAGTGAATGTGGTATGACTTAGTGAGGGGCTGTTCAAACATGAAACAGTTTGTTTATCTCAACTGAATTTCTTGTGGATAGGGGCCACATTGGTCTTATTCAAGAGGGTAACTTCAGTGACAGCATTTTCTAGCACAGAGTAGATGTTCCAAATGAAAACTGTGGCATTTCAATACTTCAGATAACTAAACAAATATTGCTGAAATTCATAGGGAATCACACAAAAACTTTGACTAGACAAAATACTCTTGACTAAAAAGAGGAAGAATTGATGTATTACATGCTCAGATTTTAAACTATACTACAAAGCCATAATATTTAAAATAGCATAGTACTGGAACAGAAGCAGACCAATGGAGTAGAAATGAAGATCCAGAAACAAAGCCACATGTATATGGTCAATTGATTTATGACAAAGGAGCAAAGAATAACACTAGAACAAGGATAGACTCTTCAATATAAATTGTGCTGAGAAGACAGGACTGCTACATGCAGAAGAATGAAACTAGATCACTACCTCACACCATATACAAAAAAACCCTGAAAATGGATGAAGGAATTGAATGTAAGCCCTGAAACTATAACATACATAGAAGAAAACATAGGCACAACACTCCATGACATACACCTCATAAACTTCATGACATATACCTTTGAGGACTCTTTCCCAGAAGCAAAGAAAATAAACTAAAAGATAAACAGCTGGGACTATATGAAACTATACTTGGTACAACAAAAGAGACAATAGCCAAAATGAAGAGGCGCCCTAAAATTGGAAGAAAATATTTATACTCCATACAACGGATAAGGAATTGATATGAAAGATCTACAAAGACCTTACACAACTCAACAGAAACAAAGCAAACAATCCAGTCAATAAATGGGCAGAAAAGCTAAAAGGACACTTCTCCAAAGAGGAAATGCAAATGACCTATAGGTTTATGAAACTTCAACATCACTTATATGCAGGGAAATGCAAATCAAAACCACAAGGGTGAGAATGTCTCATATTAAAATAAACTGGCAACAACAAATGCTGGTAAGGATGTGGAGAAAAAGCAACCACTGCTGATGGGAATGCACACTGGCCCAGAGGGAAAGTTGTGTGGAGGACCCTTCAAATCACTAAAAATGGATCTACCTGATGACCCAGTAATTCTGCTCCTAGGAATCTACCCAAAGGACACAAAAACATTAATTCAAAAGGAAACCTGCAACCTATGTTGTATTCACAATAGGTGAGGTACGAAAAGAACCCAAGTGCCCCAAAATAGATGACTGGATCAAGAAGAGTTAGTCCAACAAGACTTTAGTCTGGTTTTGCCATTTTTTTTTACTACCAGTCTTTTTGTATGAGAAATATATAGTTAACATAATTTTCATGGGCCTGTCTTTTGGATCTGAAATTCAGATCAGACTTTAATATAGAACTGCTTATACAAAGAAAAAACATTTTGTAAACATAAAAGGATAAAATTAAATGCAAGTAAATGATACATTATACAGTTGTTAAATAAGCCTACTATAACAGAATACTCAAATTCATAACCTAGGGCCATTTCCATCATATCAAACATTCATTTTCACACCAAACTATTTTCAAACATATGCCACATGTGCAGCTTTTCAAGTTACCTTCTCCCGGGAGTGTGTAAGTTCTGCTTTGGTGTTCTCCACCACAACTTGGAGTCTCTCCTTTTCTTGCCAAACCAGCTGTTGTTTGTCATGCATCGGATGATCCACCTTGTCCCAAAATGGCTTCTGCTGCTGGTTATGGAACCCCAATGGCTGGCTGGCTATTTCTGGAGCCCAGTTCTTAAGAGGGAATCATAGAGTTAAGCTTTTAAAAACAAGCTGATTTGTGTTTTGAATGTCATATTTACCTAATGGCAACACTTAGGTAATTTTGTACTTTCACTTTGTTTTCTAATGGGAGTTAGTGTATTAGATAGTGAGATAAATGAAGCAATATTCTTAGTTTGATTTTCAAAAATGGCTTGGAACTTCTTTGTTCAAAATAGTTTTTGGCAAATTAGCCCCATGGCTTCTTACAGCAAATATTATAGGGCAAGTCACAGTTTCATATGGACTCAGACACAGAGATCCATCCATAGCCTTATTTTTAAGAAGTTTTGCTTTGAATCCAGATCACTACTGTGTTGGTTAATAGAGGACACAAAGGGAACTCTAAATGTAAGGCTTTTAGCAAGTTAGAACTTTCACAAGCTAAACTCTACTTTCATTGTTACATTTGCAATCATAGCCTTTTTTAGAACCCAAAGCACATATTGTCTATGTAATTGAAGCCTGAACTCAAGAAGACAGTTTAAGCTCACACAGTGATATTTTGGATCCTGAGAAATACCTCAAAAAATAAAAAAGGTAACAAGTATATAAAACATTGTACATCTTTTTTTCTTTTTCATGTTTTGGCTTAAAAGGTCAATCTCATTTTAAGAAAATGTCAGTCCAGAAATATTTAAAAATAGAAAAAAATATTTCATTTTATGAATCATAGTTTTTAAAAATGCACCAAGAGGTAAGTGCCTACTTATGTATCAGGCCAAAATCTTAACGTCTATCCCAACCCCAAGGCCAACAGCTGTAGCATTGTTCTTGATTTACTTGATTCCAGAGGAAGCAATATTGTGATGTTAAAATGAGAGGCACTTTCTACAAGATCAAAACATTACAGTTTTATCACCATAAAACTCAGCCAGGGTCTGACTTGCACAATACAGAAAATGACCTCATCATTATCAAATTCCATTTACATGAAGTCAAGAAACAAGCATCATCCTACCCTATGATGTCAGAGGGTAGAGAAGTAGATTGTGTGGGGTTATCACCTGGGAGGCATGGATTTTTATATTTTTATCTAGTTGGAGATAAAAATAAATTTAAGTATTTTCATATTTTTTATTTAGGTGGAGATTATATAAACATAGACACACACAGGTATGTAAAACACATATACACATAAATATATGTATATATACACACATACTTTATAAAAATAAAATATTCATTATAGATTTAAAATTTTTACATTTTATTGCATAAAGTTATATCTCAATAAAAAGAAGAGAAATTACCTTGTCAACAGCATTTTGAAGTTGCTTATGTAAAGACATTATTTCTTGTTTTAAAGCCTCATTTTCCTGTTGAGTCACTTGCAGATCAGATTTAATTTGGGACATTTGCAGGTTTACATTCTGCAGGGTGTCTTCTAGATTCTTAACCTGCATCAGGAGAAAAAGCTCACATTGCTACAGAAGTCCTCATGCTCTTACCTATAGCTTGTCTGGGAAAGGATGAGGGCAAGAGAACTCCAAGGTCCCCCTGTTTCTACTCACTTTTAAGTACCTCAGAGAAAACCCAGGGCATTACATATAGTTGCAGAATGGTAAAGTTAGGAAAACAAGTCAGGCTTTGAGCAAGATATTGCTAAAATCATCATTTATTAACAGGTGATAGCTTAGACAACCTATATGTATCAATAAGCATGATGAAAAATGGCTTTACTAAATTTTGTGAGAAATTATCTTAACCCGTGGGGTTGGTTTGTAAAGATGTCATATTGCAAATAAAAATATATACTTGGGCCTTCCCTGGTGTTGTGATGGGTTAAAGTGAAGCATTATGAAGCTACTGGCAGCCACTGCAGCACAAATTTGGTTCTGGCCCAGGAATGTGACCCACGTGGCGAGGCAGACTTCTCCTGTCACCCACTGCTCCTCTCAGCAGTGTACCTCAGTATATCTGCCTGAAATCTGTCTGGTGAATCCTCTTACCCCCTGCATCTCTGGCCTGTACCCCTGTTCTTATATGTATAAATAAATATTTAAATAAATATATTTATTTTTAATATGTGTGTGTGTATATATATATACATGTATATACATTTATACTTGTAGAGTCCTATTCCATGCTATTACTTGTATTTCAAGTAAAACATCTTTTTTAATATGTAAAAAATATTATAGTGATTTTAACTATAAAGAGCATGAACCTGCCTTAGAAATCCTATTTCTAAATTAGAAACAGTTATTGTTTCTAATAGTTTCTAATAGTTACATACTATTCTCAAGCCTTCTTAAGAAAACAGTCTCATAATCATGAAATAATTACAATAATTAACTTTGAGAGAAAAAGTGTCTAAATTACTACACCATACTATAAACATTTGGTATATACTGGTCAAATTGAGTCATACTGAGTCCTCTTAGGCCACTTCCACCTGGAACATTCTTTCTGGTAGAACTATTGAAATATATAGGAAAGCATCAACTGTGCCACTCAAACAAGAATTGTCCACATACCTTTTCCTGTGAAGACACCAGCTGTGACTTTAAGCTTTCACTCTGATATTCCTGAGATTGTTGTTCCTGCTTCATAGCAGCAATTCTGTGCTCCAAAAGCCTTGATTTTGCCAACTATCTCAGAGAGAGAAGAGAGGTTAAGAGGCAATTTTTGCAAACAAACCTAACCTTGATTTCTGGCCTCTACATATAACATGAGCATGGTAAAGGAAAGAAAAAATCTATCTTTAGTCTTGAAGAGATCTCTTTAGGGATTTCCATTTTTCCTTCTCTCTGCCTTATTATTTGAGGGTGGAAGATAGTAGGCTGGTATGAAATTTTACAAAGTTTCCATTAAAGTAGGTAGGAAATAGTATCTTTGAACTTGCTAGGAAAAATAAGGCCAAAAAGGGCAAGGTTATGAAATACAACACTATTTGTTGTTTAATATATATCTATAAATAGAATAGTGATATGCATATATGTATGTATGTGTGGATACATATACACGGATATGTATATAACTATATATGTGTCTTTCTATATAGAGAGAACAGGATTATGATATATTAAAATGAGACAAGCTTTATATTATTGTATTTAGTAACATAACTATTTAAAGACTAATTTAGGCTCTGGTGTCAATTTGGCGTTGGCAGCTCTAAGGTGACATGATGACAACTGGCATGCTGTTCCAGAAGCTGGAACAATGAGCCTAATGCCTCACTGTGCTAATGCCTCTATGAGGCCCAACCCCACTGTCCATAAAGAAATGCTCATGAGGGTACCCACACTGTGATGGCAAAAATCCTTTTTTTAATTACCTTATCAATGCAGCTGTTCAATTCTTCACTTAGGGCTTCTTTTTCTTTCAGCAGTGTCTCATTGTAGCTGAGGACATTAGAAATTTGTTGTTGGAAATCAGCGAGATCAGGACATCTGTGCAGCTGTAAGAGATAAACAAATGGGCTGAGCCCCTCCATCACTTTATTTATAAAGAGATATTTATAAACAGGGCATTTTCATGACTGCTGCTATCTCCCTGTCTGTAGATATTTCAGAGGATATACAAACGTTAGGGGACTATAATTAACTTTAACAAAATGTTCCCTGTTAGCTTTTTTCTGTTCTCCAATTGGCTGCGAGAATGTTTGCTTAGATCGACTCAACCCAGACATTGTTAAAGAATGGCCCAGCTTTCCGTTTTCACCTTCAGGGTAAAAGAAATAACCTACCACCGTTCTGTCATCTACTGAACTTGTGCACACACGGCACTGTACGTTTTCCTGTGGCTTTCCTCACCTATGAGGGAAATGCCTAAATGGACCTGCTTATTTACATGTTGCTGGTGTGGCTACCCTGGCCTCCTCCCCTCAACTTTAGGGAATTAGGACAAACCAAGGATGGCTTTTGTTCTTTTGCAGCAGCAGCCTTAGTGCTATGGATATTGAGGGCCAGGTAATTCTGTGCTGTGAGGTGCCACTCTGTCACTGTGGGATGGTTAACAGACTTTGGCTTTACCTACTAGATGCACCATTTGTGACAACCAAAAATACCTCAGATAATATTACTAATGTCCCAGGTGCTGCCTGTAGTCCACAATCATTGCTTTAAAGATTCACTGCTTGTTACACTTCTTCACCCTTTCCTATGGTGCATATGTTTTAAATTTTCCTCCTTTTCATGTGACATTCAAATTTTCAATTCTCAACATCATTATGATTCTAAGGCCTTCTTTCTATTCTCATTGTAAATTCTTTTACATTAGGAATAGTATGGCACAACACATTTTAAGAATTCAATCTTGTCTTCAACTGGCAATAAATCCAGTATATCTTGCAAATCTAAACTAGCCAGAAACAGAAAAATATACATTTTAAAAAACGTAGGGACCTTCTTCTTTGCCCACTATCAGGCCTCTTTTTCTTAGGACCCTCACAAAAGTTACTGTGTCCATAGAGTTGGCATGTGACTTCTGTTAAAGTGCTGTTCAAATTTCTTTTCAGTGCAATGGATGATACAAGTGCTCTGTGTGCAAGAAATTGTTACTTATGCAGGGCAGCACATACTTCCAAGTCTATGCTACACGTACCAGCAATGAACAGGCCCTGTTCTACCTCTGTGACCCCACTGTCCAGCTGCCATAAAACAGTTTCCAAATAATGGTGTGTTTTTCCACATCACCATTTGTACCAACACTACTGTCAAAAAATATTCAATAAAAATGTGCCAAATGATGTACCAATGCCACAGTTTTCCTCCCAATTCTGCTCGTTTTCAAACTTGGAAAAGTCAAGAATGCACATTTTCCAAGTGATGGATTTGCACTCACTGTATCATCTTGAAGAGTGAATAAAAGATTTTCAAAAGGTAAAGGAATAAAGTGTGCCCATGTTAATTAGGGTGAGCTGGGTAATAACATAACAGCTTTGGAACTCAAAATACACCACAGAGGCCCTCCCTGGTGGCGCAGCGGGTTAAAGCACAGCACTGAGAATCTGAAGCCACTTCCCTATGAGTTCGATTCCAGCCTGCCGCCTGCCCCGGAGGAGACCACATGGCGAGCCAGACCTCTCCTGACCCGCCCGCTGCTCCCCTCAGCAGTGTACTTCGTCGATCTGCCTGTTCTGCTCCCCACTCTGTCTCTGGTGAAGCCTCTCACCGCCCCTGAGCCTCTGGCCTGTACCCCAGTTCTGTATGAATAAATAAATAAATCTTTAATTAAAAAAAAAAAATACACCACAGAAGGGACCTATGAGTGCTAACATCTGGCACACTCAGAAAGATATTTTCTGTTGTCTGATGGTGGAGCGGATATACTGTATCTAGCACATTTGACTTAAAAATGTTCTTATAAAGGATCTGGCAGGTTCCTGCAAGTCCATTAATCCTATTAGGATCAAAACTTATAGGGATCAACTAGAGATCAATAGAATATAACACTCAATGGTAGAGACTCAATATATTAGCTTTCAGCATTTACTTTCATAGAACATAAAATAATACAAAGAATATTTTATAATCCAAGGATGTTATAATATTAAAGCAATCTTTTGGTGAAGCAATAAATCAATAGAACAGCTAAAGTCCCTTACTATACGTCAGGATTGCTCAAACTGAGTGATTCCTGTACTCACTGAAAACACAGGATGAAGAATAAAATAGGACAATATTCAGGATCTAACTTTAAGATGAACCTTCTTTTATACTTAAAGTTAACTCTTTGTTTGAAATTTGGAAACAGGCTTCTTAAAGCCAGGTTAATAAGTGATATCCCATCCCCAATAAAGCCTTATGCCTAAGATTGATGCCTCATACTTGTTATAAAAATAGACATCAGGCTATTTTTTACTTATGTCTCTCAAATCTGGGTGAACTGAATTATGAAAGTTAGGAGCAAGACAGTCACCTTTCTAGACAAACTTTTATGACTTTATCACTGGCCAGAATAAAGTAGAATAATACATTTCTTAAACTGAAGAGATTGTGGTTCTTTTATAGTAATAGAATTTCAGACTACAACATGTCTAAGTTACATAACTAAAGAATTAGCAACAGCAGCCTTTACAAATATAGACTTGTGTTTCAAGTCCTCAGCTTTATTAAGTGACAACTGACAGGACTCAGTAAAATGGACATCTGGTGTCTACAAAAACCAGACCCAGAATCCACATTGTCTTATGAAGCCCCCTGCACACCACCTTACTTGTTTCATTTTTTCCAGTTCATCTTTGAGAAGGAGGTTTTCCTGTTCCACAATATGGGTCCGTATTTTAACTTCAGAAAGTTCTGCCTCCAGAGAAGACACCAGTGTGGAGGACTAAGAGAGAAATATAAGTCAAGTGACAGATTTATTCATTTAATCTGTGATTAAAAAGAAAAATCAAGGTTCACAAAAAACAATGTCAAGGAAACACTAGAACAAGTTTATGACTAAAAGTAATGTCAAGGAAACACTAGAACAAGTTTATGACTATTTAGCCCTGTCTTCAACAGAACTAATGTCATCTTTTAAAACATTTTCAACTTAAATGGCATGACCATGATTTCCAAGAATTTTTACAGGTTTTTTCACCACAAAGTTACTGCTTTTTTCTTAGACAAGATACTAAGAAACAATATGCATCATGCTTCTCCTTAAACTTCTGCTTATCTTAGTGTCTGTGAATGGATTTTGTCTGCAACAATTATCACTCCAGTGTTTGCCTAATGATGATTTTCTATTTCCTTCTTTCTACTTTAGAATTCTACTGGAAGAAAGTGCTCATTTAATCAATTTTTCTGTCAGTTTGGACCCTGAGGCATTCATTTTATTCCATATTTCTTTCATAATTATTTATGTTACACTGTGACAAATTGATTTTGCTGATGAAACTTTTTCATCTTTGGTTATTCAGAGCTCCGCCATATTGAGCCTTTTGACAGGCTTACTCTTCGGTGAGTATTTTTTATTTCCTGGCCCTGTGAGATGATGTTACAGCTCATTTTGAAATTTTCCTGTCTGTGTGCTGGAATCAATAATTTCTTCAAGGGACCCTGGCTCCTTTTAAAGGAGGACAGTGTTTAGAAACCATATATTTACTTATATACATATTTTAAAACATGAATTTATACTAATAATTCATATTTCAAACCCTGCACTACAGGGGTCACTACATTTCCACTTGCAACTTCCTTTTTTAACAATAAACTCAGCCTTACTGTCTACAATATATTTATTTATTTTAAATTCTAGAAAAAACAAAGAACTTTCAGAATCACTAATCCACATTCCATAAGAACCACATTTACTGACTAGGTTATAAAAATACTTATGGATCGTCCTTTTTGTCTCTAGACCTATAGCAGATAGTTAAGATATTAACTTCCAAGTCACTTAATTATTTTCTTTCCTATAATGGTCCACCCTCCATTTACAATATAATTCAGCTATATTCACTTGTTGGTATTTATGTTCTACTTTGGTATCCCCTGTCACCTTGATTAATTTTAATTATGTGTTTATTTTGGGGAACTATGAAGAGCACATGAAATGTTATGGCTTTAGAGTCCTAATACTGAGAGAAGTGTCACTCCCTTCTTCATCCCTTCTATTCCATTCCCATTATTTTCTTCCATGGCCTTCCCAACACCACCTATAGGTAACCATCTCTTTAGTGTTTGGGTTACCATTTTTGTATTTATTTTATACATATTAATAATAAACATGTATTTTCTAATGTCTTTTTCTTTCTTACATGGAAAGGGGCACTTAATATACTATTTTGCGTTTCATTTTTCAGTTAACTCTACGCCCTGAAAATTATTTCCTCTAAAAGAGATTTTTTTCATAGAGGTTTTTCATTTCATTCATTTCACTATTTTCTTCTTTATTTTATACCCTCACAGTACTACTGCACAGTGTGCCTACACCCAACCACTGTTTGACTTGACCACATTCTTATGCATCCATTTTACTCAAGTGACTTGAGAAGTCACCTTTGATACATACCAAGTATATATCAAATACTAAGTATGTATTGGGGCAGCACCATACTGTTTTAATTATTAGGACTTTGTAAGAAACCGAACACAAGCATTTCTCTTGTTTCTCAGGATTTCCTCTGAAAAGGCTGTCAGCTGGCTACAGACATACCTGCACTTGACAGTGGGTCAGTTCTTCTTTCAGACTGTCCTTTTCTTGTTCCCATTCCTCGAACGTACAGTGTCCAGGCTTTTCCCTCTGGCATTGCATTTCTGCCAGACGTTGATTGAGTTCTTGCAGTTCTTTTTGGTTTTGAGAATTCTTTTGGCTGAGTTCTATATTTTCCAAATCCAATTGTTGGTTTTTGGTTTTTAATTCTGAAATCTAATTGAAATTGAAGTCAACTTTTAAAAATTAATTTACCTTACTTCTGGCTATAAAACAGATTTAGAGACATTCTTCTTTCATTCTCTATGTAGTAAAGTTATATATGTATGTGTATAGTATAGCAAAATAATACTTTAATGACAAAAATAATACTCATTAACACAAATTAATCAACTGGGAAATATACAGAGAAGTGATAGATATTCATTTCAACCCCATTGTAGCCATTGTTCACAGTGAGGTGAGTGTTCCTCCTCACTGATTTCTGTAAATCTACAAAACTCATATACACAGAGATATCTTTCTTCTTTATATGAAAAATTTTAGTCACAGGGCCCTCTCTTGTGGTGCAAGGGGTTAAAGCACAGCACTATGAAGCTATACTCAGCCATGCACGAGTTTGAGTCCCAGCCAGGGAGGTGACTCACATGGGGTGGCAGACCTCACCCTGTCTTGCCCACTACTCCACTCAGCAGTGTGTTTCAGTCCATCAGCCTGTTGTGTTTCCCACTCTGTCTCTGGTGAATCCTCTCATCTCCCACACCTCTGGCCTATACCCCAGTTCTTGTATGCATAAATAAATCAATCTTTAAAAAAACTTGTAGTGACAAATTTGGACAGGGGTATCACTTCCCCACCCCTACCAATTAGAAAGCTTTTGTTAAACACTCAGAGTTTAAAATTATATATACACCATTAATTCACACAAAAAGAAACTGTTTCTAGTCACAAAACAATTCACATGTTAGTGTCTATATGAGGTGAGCTTCTACTTTGAAATTCAGGATTTATACCCTTCTCATCAACAGTTACATACAATTCCAGTAGCTTGTTCTATAAATTTGTAAATATCAAAATAGAAAAAGGAAATTTCAAAACAAGAAACACTGGGAAATGGTAAGTATCTTCTTACCTGTTTCTTTAAAATTTCAACCATCTTCTGAACTGCAGTTTTTTCTTGTTTTATAGTATCTATTTTTTGCCTAAGAGGACAACAAAAATATAATTTTAAGAGTGAGACCTTAAATTGAAGTAAAATAGTTGTAGTCTTTACAAAGAAGCTTCAAGAAAATTGAAGTATATGTCTCACCACATCTCTTCCTGAGATTCATTTAATTTCCCTAATTTCAGGTTAGAAATGCTATCTTCTTCACTTAAAGTAGTAATTTCATTTCTTAAAATAGAATTTTCCTCTTGAAGCTTCTCAGATTCATATCTGAAGTGCAGAGATGAAAAATAAAAGTTACAACAAAGCAGTCATCTGGTATCTTTGGATAATACTTTCTTGTAACTTTCAAGAAAACGAGTATTCCATGCCGGTTAAAAAGGAAGTCTGCATTTGTAGTCTCAGCAATCAAGCTATGGCATACCGACTTGTTTCTCAGGGGAAGTAAGAATTTCACTGAAGATGTTAGTGAAGGTGACTAAAACACCTGAGCCTGGAGAGAGGAGCTGAGACTCAGTGCCCACTGTGACTGCTTATTTTCTCAGTGTCAGATAGCTTATTTTCTCAGCTTTGAGCCGATAGCTTCACTTATCTCAGATGTGAAACCTACCAGCTCTAACTAGACAGAAACCAATACCAAATTGTATTAACTTCAGATATCTAGAGAGAAAAATTTACTACCTAAGTAAAAGAGCCACACTGAAATATATACACTGTTTACTTTGTGATTTAAAAAATTTCACATTCTGATTTTTAGAACTGAAATACGGGGTAAAGTTAGAAGAGGAAAAACGATACCCTGAAGTAAATGATTTTATTTCATATTGTAAGTACTTTAGACTTGATATAATCTTTGAAAGTTCTTTTTAAATCAAATTTGCTAGAAGATTAAAGTAACTATTTTATAAAGTGAGCAGTATTCAAGTTAGTCTCATTTTTTTGGTCTTCATTCTTCAAGCACATTTATTAGAATCTAATAGCTCCTCAAAAAGCTTATCTTCTAAGATAAATTCCAGTGTTTACGGAATGCCAGCATTTAATTCAATATGCCACAAAACACATTTTTCCTATATTAGTATAAGAAGTGAGTTAATAATACACAAAAGACACTCATTCTCAAAGAGCATGTTTCATCAAACTAAGGAACATAACATTTAGTCAAAAGAAAAATTCTATCCATCCAAAGGAACTAAGTACTAAAAAAGAGTTAAAGACTTGACATACATTGATGATACACATAGTTAAACAGCAAACACCATTATGAACTTTCACACCTAGTGGACAACATCTATTTCCTAGAGAGGAAGGGGATGCTTCCTAGGGCAAGGTTATTCTATTTGTTAAGACAGAAGCAGAAGGAAGTCTAGGGCACTGTGCTGCTCTTGAAGACTAACAGGTTAGTTTCTCTAGGCACAGCAAGTAGCGGAGTTAGATTTGGTGAGGTGGTCTGTGGAATTCCGTGAGGTTTAGAAGACACATACATTACCTCAGAAGTTCAACTTTTTGCTGCATCTCACTGCAGGAGATTTGCAAGTCATGCATCATTGCCTTCAGTTCTTCTTCCTTTTCTCCTTGGGAAGGCACATCTTTTTGTTTAACTAAAGTGGTGACTCTCTCCTTCAACTTCCTAGTCAACTCCTGCAGCTTTTTTTTCTCCAGTTCTAATTCTGCTAGTGAGGTCTGACGTGGACAATGTTTGTCTTGAAGGTGTAGGAGGGCAATATTTTCCTCCGGTGTAACTTGATTCTGTACTCTGGACTTTTCTCGATGTGTCTGGATTGTTCTGTGTAGCCAGGCAATTTCCCGTGCTTTCACTTTTCCTGGGATCTGTGTGTTTTCCTGCTCAACGTATTGATCTACCTGATAATGTTCTTCTATAATATGGTGGACACTCACATCCCTCGGCACATGTTCTTCCAGCGCCTGATGGAGATCAAGTGCCGTTTCGCCAGGTTTGCCTTCCAGGTTATCTGAGCGGGCTTCCCACAGGGAGGAGCAGTCCCATGGGGACGCTGCTCCTTCCTGCAGCTTTTCAATCTTGCTTTGCAGTCTCAGAACTAAAACGTGCAGTTCCTCATTTTCCCTCTTAACTTCGCCATAACTCTTCTCCAGGCTAAGCAAGGTTTCGGTCACTTCTTCAACTTTCTTGAGCTCATCCTGCAGCCTGAAAACTTCAGAAGTGAGCTCTTTGTTGTTTTCCAGTGCTTCATCATAACGTGTCTCCATCACTCTCAGCTCTTCCTGAAGACAATCATTTTCCCGATTAGCATCTTCATATAACAATTTGTACTTGGGAGAAGCCTCAGGGATTCTCTCCAGCATCTTCAGCTTTTTTTTCAATACAGAAACATCAAAAAGGAGGTCTTGTTTCTTCTCAGAAGCTCGGTTGCAGTCAGCACGTAAGATCATCAGCTGTTCCTGAAGCTGATAAATCTGATTCTTCAGGTCCCATGTCTCAGTCCTGGTCTCCTCACTATTTGCAAGCTCAGAAAAACTCTCTATTGATGCTTCAGACTCCTCTATTTTGTTCTCCTGCCTCTGAACAGAACTTGTTCCTGTACTTTCCAGGTCCCGGACCTCATCAGCCTGCAGGTCATTTAGGACATGCCTCACAGATACACCTTCTGCTTGCTTTGTTTTGTTCTGCAGTAAATATGGCTCTGTTTGTTCAAGAGAATTTCCAAATAATCCAGTAGTTGGTTCATCTAAACAAGAAGACCTTGCTGACCCTGGCTCTAACCTTTGCAGCCTCTGTTGCAACCTTGAAATTTCAGTAGCCATTTTCACATTTTCCTTTACTGCTTGCTCATGAGCTCTCTGCAGGCTTAAGAGGACATCACCGTTCTCTTCCAGTAGCTGCTCTCCTTGCTGGAGCAGGGACATGGCTCCGCTTCCTTCTGCCTCCTCCCTTTCCATTGCCTGGCAGCCACTCTGAAGTCTGGGGTGAGGAGAGGCTACCTGCTGCATTTCCTTAATTTTACTCTGAAGTCTGGAGATTTCTGTGCTCATCTCAACCCGCTCTCGATCTGCTTTCTCACAGGTCATCCTGTGGACGCTTTCTAAGGCCAGAAGCTTGACCATCATTTCTTGCCTCTCCTGGTCATGCTCCACTTGCAGCCTCTGAAGCTGCTGGCTGGTCAGCTGCTCCACAGCACCTGCCTGGCCCATGACCTGCTTACTGTCCTTCCACTCTCTTTCATGACTGCCCTTCAGCTCAAGTATCTGGCTGGACAGTAGGCTCTGCTGATTTTCAGACACATTTCGGAGATCTTCTAGTTCTTTGAGTAGCTGCTCTCTCTCAACAACCATGCTATTCAAATGTTCTTTGTATGTTTTCTCCAGCAACTCTTTCTCTTGGCTCAGGGCCAGAGAAGTTGCTTTCTCTCTTTGGACAGTCTCTTTCAGAAGCTCCTGGGCTTCCGCACACTCCTGGGTGAGTTCGTCCTTCTCAAACTCCCACTGGGCTCTCTCCTCACATCGTTGCTCCTGAAGGTCCTTCAGCTCCTGGCAGTAGCGCCCTTCCAGGCTGCGCAGGGCACATTCACATGTCTCAGTGACTTTCTGACAATCAGCCTGAAACTGGGCTTCTATTTGAGAGGTTCTTCTATTATACTCAGTTTCCATTTTTTCCCTAAATGTGGTCAACATACAGCATTACTGAAACTGCCACCAACTCTGGACGCAAACAAAAAATACTTTTCCATGCATAGAAGCTGCCAAACAATTTAAATACTTTCTAAAAATGGTTGTCATTTAATTTCTATGTGATACAATTTTACTGAGAAGGGATCTCATTTCTGAGAGCCAAGACTGTCAGTCATAACTCACTTAACAGACTCTTTTATCTCTGTGTTTTCAGAGGAAAATTTTAGAAACCAAATTCACTGGCACATTCCTGGATGCATCTGCTTATGGATTTTTAGCCCAAAACTTACACTGACATTTCACATTAAGTGAGTAAATGTAGGTCAACCTAATCCCTAGCTTGGGAAGAATGCATTGGAGGATACTAGTCCTAAAAAACACACATTAACAAAGTCATTATTTAAAAAAGTGTCAACAAATCAATCAGGATATGAAGCACCAAAACCGTCAGATTATTTGCACTTGATATTTCAAACGAGGAAGGTAAGCACAAAGTGGTGTTTCTTAACTCTGCGAAGAAACGTAACTTTGCCTAGAATCTAACTTACAAACAGCCGTTCTCAGAAAGCCACAGGACAGACCCAGAAAGGAAGCACATTTGGGATAATCTTAAAAGATACCAGTCGGATACAAGAAATACTTTATTCTTTTAAAATAAAAATGATTCCTCAACATCTCCTTACTGCCTGGAACTGTTAGTGCCCATGGGTGCCAGCACCTAAATCACGGTTACCTTCTCCCTCCCCACCCCCAGTTTTCTTACCTGCCCTCTTGAAGTTCTCTTTGGTGTTCTTCCAAGAGTTCCTTTCGCAACTCCTCTTTCTCAAGAGTGTGCTTCTCCACCAGGCTTTTCAGCTGTTCCTGGTAAAACTGCTCTAGCTCCTGAGTCAAGTCTCTCACCTTCTCTTCTGTCCAGGTGCCATTTTGAATGAGTCCTTCTCTTTCTTGGTTAAAGCTTTCCTCTGCTTGCTCCAGTCTAGCCTTAAGCTCCAGCTCATGTTCCAACTTCAGTCTCTCTTGCAGGTGAGTCTTTTCCTCATCACACTTCACCTGCAGTTGTCTTTTCTCTTCCTCGTGTCTGCAGGTGGTTGCATGTTGTGCCTCTTTGAGAACCACTGCCTGCCCCTGAAGGTCCGCAATTTCATTTTTAAGGTCACTTATTTGTTGTTCCAAGGTGTGTGTTTCATTCTCATACTTTTGCTTGGTGTTTTCCTGCTCCTTTTCACAGGCAACCCTGGTTTCTTTTAGCTGCTTTTCATAATGGTGCACCTGAAGTCAGAAAGTGAAACCCCCACAATGTTATATAACTCAAGGCCATGGACAGGTGATGTCCTCCAAGACATTCCTTGGTTTTCTCATTTTTTTTAAAGATGTATTTATTTATGCATACAGAACTGAGTTACAGGCCAGAGTTGCAGGGGTGATGAGAGGATTCACCAGAGATAGAGTGGGGAGCAGAACAGGCTGACTGACGAAGTACACTGCTGAGGAGGGCAGTGGGCGGGTCAGGAGAGGTCTGCCATGCCATGTGGGTCACCTCCAGGGCAGGCGGGAATCGAACTCATGCTGACGTGCCTTAGCTTCTTAGTGTTATGCTTTAACCCACCGCGCCTCCAGGGAGGGTCCAGTTTTCTCATTTTTTAAAAAAAGGTATCTTAAATCAAACCCACAATTACATGCTATCTTATTCAAAAGATGTATTTAATTTAAGCTAAGTATAGCTTGCTTTCCTTTTTAATTTGCTTCAATTTTACTAGTTTCTGAACACAATTCTATTAAACTGACTAGATACCATTTGTCTTTTCTGGCCTTCTTTCCAACTGCAAACTCGGGCTCTTAAAATAATTAAATCCAAGTATGTATCGAATACTCATCAGGCACTCTGCAGGCCCAGAGAGACATAAAGGTAGGTAAGCAGAACACACAGTCCCTGCTATCAAGGAGAAACCAGTCTAGACATGGTTTTGATAAACACAGACAAGTATATGAAAAAGCCGAGTGAAAATGTAAAAGGTATAGCAAAAAGAGCTTCAATGTAACCCAGGGATTCAAAGGAGTGAAAAATTGCATTTGGCTGGGAGACTGTGATTATGTAAGAGACAGCATTTGATATAAACTCAGAAGAGTAAGTATACTTTCAGGAAACAGAAAAAAGGAATAACAGAGCATCAACAGAGGAGTTTGATGGAGAACAGTGAACTATCTGGCTTGGCTAGAGGATAAGGTAATTCAAAGGAATAGTAAAAACAAGACCAGAGACATAAATTGAAGCCACATGGTAAAGGCATTTGGTGGCAAGAATTAGAATTTATACCTAGTTTAGGAGATTAAGATCTTTTTGGTTTTCTAAGATTTTACTTTAACAAGTTAGAAATAATGTAGTAGCTTTCAAGTTCCATGCTTGCTAGGGCTGAAGGTACTACATTTCAGAAACACTGCCTCCAAGGAGAAGTCCTCACTTGGTCTGTGACGCCACTCAAGGAAGGAGGTTCCCGGCAGCCATCAGACAAAGAAAAGAAAGTGCTGCCTTAAGATAAAAGAATTGCAAATGCCCTTCATGCAAAAAAACTTGTAAGAAGTCAAAGAAATGAAAGAATAGGACTGACACAAAGGACTTACTTTATCTTCAAGCTCCAGTCTTAGGCGACTCAAGTCCTTGTGATGTTGTTCTTTCATCTGTTCGATGACCAGCTCCGCCTCGATGCTCATATTCAATGGGTTGCATTCTTCAGAGCCAAGGCCTGAAACACATGGGTGCCATTGACCCTGCAGCAGGTTCTTTCAAGAACAGCTAGCATAGGAGGAGGGCATCTCCAGTTTAACTAAGGAATAATTTTCAGCATAAACTGCCATTAATGCAATCTACTAGGAAATAGCAGAAGTGAAGAGAAGTCTCTTCTGTTTCTAAGCATTAGGGAAAAGAAGAAAAAATTGAAAGGAAATAGATTCTCTCCTGGAGAGGCAGTGCTCAGCCTGAACACAATCCTGTGTGGCAATGAGCAGAGCCGTGACGCGGTTGGAGGGTGAAGGTCCAGCATACTTGCTGCTATGCCTGAAGGAGTTAACTTCATGGACCAGAAAATCCCACCCATCATTCAACACTGAGCACTGTAAATGAATTTCCAAGAATGTAGGTGGATCCTCATCGTAAATTATCTGCTAATTAAAAAAATATATAAATAGGGCTTCAATTTGGAACCTAGATATAGGCAATTTGGGGAGGAAATTCTCAACTCATCCAGATGAAGTCCCCTCTGAAACTGCCTATGGTCACTGAGAAGGGCAGGAAAAAAAGTGACATTGAGCTAGTATATTGATAAAACGATGATATCTAATACTATGTAGACATTTCTTGAGGTGGGCCACCCCAAACAAGTTTGACATGTGGGCGTACATAGGGCTCATGACTAGTCTCTGGGGCTCACAGTCTTGCCTTGGGCTTTCTCCTTGCTGAGTAGTGAGCCCTGATATAAACACCCAAGGTGGTGAGTTGAGAGTGTACGCATGGCTCAGTGGTAGAATTCTCACCTGCCAAGATGGTGTAGTTTTATGTACTCATGAGAATCCCCAACACTCTCTGGAAACGTCCAGAAAAGCTCCTGAGATAGACCAATCGTCATTTGAGCTTCATCTTTACACCACAGTAAGGCTAAGACTGCAGATTCGGACTCAGAAAAAAGGCTGTTTCCTATCCTCTCCCTAATCCCTTGTTTATTCCAGAACAGACAGGCAAGAAAAAAAACAAACAACTCTTGTAAGAACCTGTACTGTTCCAAGTAGCAGTGGAAAGAACTAGTTATGACAGAAGAATTTAGAATGTGTCCTTTCTGAAATCAAAAGTCAATACCCCCAAAGAAAGAGGCAAAGGACCGGGAAGAAGGGTCCTAGTGGAGAGAGCAGGACCCCCAAGCAACACAGGACTCTCAAGCAACACTCCCTTGCAAACTTGCCACTCAACATCCTCCTCAAAGGCGCTGGCCTTTGTTTTTTGTTTTTTTTTGCAGAGGCAATACAGACATTTAACACAGCTAGCATAATAAAACCACATTCTGTGGTTTCTGACTGGCTCACTGTCCAAACCACTGTCATACCAGGATACCAGGTAGGGGCTCTTTTTAGAAAGGATTCAACAATAGCCCACTGCCTGAATTCTAACACTTCCAAAGCCTGTATTCTTAGACTTGTTGCCAGTTGTTGTTTTGTTTTTAAACAAAACAAATATCCTTGTGGTTTGCTTTTTCCATTCTGTGGTTGCTCATATCAAAATCAGATGGAAATATTCTCCTGAAGCTTTCAAGGACAAATGAAAACACAGATGACGAATAAAACAGCTCAGAAACTAGCACTGCCAAAGTCTCTTCTGTTATTGGTGTTGCCAAAGTCTTGCAATTTTATATTCAACCATGGTTCTAAAAAGAAACATCCCAGACAGACAAGTTACAGAGATGTGTCTGAGTGGCTTACCCTGATCAGGCTCTGTGCAGCTACTGTTACCAGCGAGTTCTTCTGACAGGGAGTTCTTCAAGGGGAGCCTGAGTACTTTGCCTTGTGTACGGTATTCTTCCAGCTCAGACTGGAGTTCATCTACTTGGTCTTGCAATACCTACAGGTTAAAAGCCAATATAAATCTTAGATATGACATTAAAAGTGCAAGCAACAAAGGAAAAACTACATAAATCGACATCATTAAAATTTAAACTTTTGTGCATCAAAGGGCACCATTAAGAAAGTAGAGACAACCTGTATTCCTTTACTGCTAATTATATAAAGTATTGGAAATCAGTGTTACGTCAATAACATAGAAAACATTAACAACAAAATGACAATCCACAAAGGAGGAGAAATATTTTTGCAAATTATGTATCTGACTGGGACTTACAATTAGACTATCTGAATAATTATAAATCGATAATAAAAAGATAAATACCCCATTTAGCAATGTGTTAAAAAGGATCTGAGGAGACATTTCTCCAACAAAAATATACCAATATGCACATGGAAAAATACTCAATATTATTAGCCATCAGGGAAATGCAAATCAAAATCACCAAGTAGATATCACTTCATACTGCCTAGGATGGCTACAATCAAAAAGACATAACCACTGCAAAGGTATGGAGAGGTTAAAGCTCTTTGACTGGTGGGAATGTAAAGTGGTGCAGTACCTTAAAGGTTAAATATCCAGCGAACCTACAATGCAATTCCACTCCTGGTTATATATGGAAGGAAGATAAAAATATATGTCTACACAAGACTTATACATAAATGTTCACAGCAGCTTTATTCACAACAGTTAAACAACCCAAATGTCCACCGACTAATGAATGGACAGATGCGAGATAGTCATATAATGGAGTATTATTCAGCAATTAAAAGAAAGGAAGTACAGATACCTGCTACAACCTGGATGAACCTTGAAAACATTTATGCTAAGTGAAGGAAGCCAGTGACAAAGGACCACATATTGTATGATTCCATGTATATGAAATGTAAAGAATAGGCAAATCTAGAGATAGAAAGTAGATTATTAGTTGTCTAGGCTGGGGGTGATAGATGAGATTACAACTAAGTAGAGTGGGAGATTTTTTGGAGGGTGTTGAAAATATTCTAAAGCTGCCACAGTGAAGGTTGTATAAGCTATGGATAACACACTTCAAGTGGGTGAACTCTTTGGCTTGTAAAGCTGTTAAAAGAAAAAGAAATGAACATATCTGAGGAATTTGTGGAGATTGATAGATTTTACTGAGGAAATCATTAACTTCACAGATATTTGAAGAAAATACTTCCACTTGATTAGAGTCAAGAGACAAAACTTAATTTAAAAATGGTAGAAAGGTTTCAGATCTTTTCTCCTGAGAAGGCAGAGCTGAGCAACCTCACAGGAGGTGATCGTTTCTTTACTTCACAGTTTCCTCTGAAGCAGTGAGAATGCAGTTTTGGTTACTTTGTTAAAATAAACAAATGTTTGTGGTTTAAGAAAAACATTCAAATTGCTAAGCTTAGAGTGAATTTTTTTTTTAAAAATGAAAGATTCCTGTTATTTATGGAGATGTTTTTGTCTCTTCTGTTAGGAATTTTGATAATTTACTAGTTGAAGGCGTTGAGTGGTTTCTGCTTCATTTGCATTTTGTAAATAAAGTAAGGAATGTGTTCAGAAAAAAAAAAAATCACAGTACAAAAACAAATTACAACAGCTTGGGTCTGCAATGATCAATAAGGAAAGGCTAACTTTGGAAAATTCACATTATTTGGAAAATGCACATTAACATGATCACATATTCTTTCACTTGGAATAAGACTATATTTTCCTGTAAGCGCTCGCTATAGCTGACCTAGATAAAGCAGACTGACTGTAGTTTGCATGATTTCCTAATAGTTCAGAAGGATACTAAATCATATTACTGGCTAACAGTTGTTAAGTGTTTGCTATGTCCCTGACTCTGTTTTAACTGCACATACATCACTCTGAGTCCTCACAGCCACCCTATGAGGTGGATATTCTTTCTTTTACCATCATACAGATGAGGCATTGAGGTCCCCACACATTAAGTGACTTGCTCATGGAGACACAGCCAGTACATGGCGAAGCTGCTTTGGAGCGACTAGTTACCAAGTTCTCCCAATCACTCACCCTGCACTGCTGCTCATATTCACTTCTCATCTGTGTCAGCCTCTCCTCTTGCAGAAAGAATTCAGCACTGTTGGGATCAAGGTCACCAAACTAGAAAAGCAAAAGGTCACAATGGTCATTTTTCCCAAGTGGCCTGTTTTGACATCTAACATACCAAGGGCCCTAATAGCTACTGTCCACCGTCTCTTGAGTAGGAAAGGAATGTGACATTTAAGCAGAAACATCACCAAGGGATGTCATTGAGGGAGCACATGCTAAGAGTGATGTGTTCAATTCAGGCAGAGATCATCTCAGAGATCCAGCCCACTAAAATTATGTCCCTACAAAAACAGAGCTTTCTTTAGCCACCGAGTATACACCGAGTACACCGATTACTCCTAGTTTCATCATACTTCACTTCATGATACTTTGCTGAAACCTCGGTTTTTAGAAATTGAAGATCTGTGATGAGCCTGTGTCATCCCTTGGCATCATTTCACTAACGGCATGCGCTCATTGCATGTTTCTGGATCATGTTTAATTAGGGTATGTACCTTTTTCAGACATGATGCTATGGCACACTTCCTAGACTACAGTACAGCGAAAACCTGACTTTTATATGTGCTGGGAAACCAAAATATTTATGTGACTTGCTTTACTGTGACACTGGCTTTGCTGGGATGGTCTGGCACCACAGCTGCAACTGCTCCGTGGTGTGCCTGTAATTCCCCAACGGAAATATTCGTGGTTGCACTGCCTCTGTTCCCTGGAGTGAATACACTCTGACTGCACATCAGAAAAGCAACTTGAAACAGATTTACCTTTTCTGCTAACACATTTTCCAAATTTCGCTGAAGTTTGTTTGTCAGATTCTCATATTCTGCCAATTTCTCTGCATTTTCCAGAAGCTCATTTTCTAGCCGGCTATTTTCCTGGGGAAATTTGTGAGAGTTAAATATGGCTCAGATTTTTTTTAAAGCAAACTCTTCAGGGCCCTCCCTGGTGGCGCGACAAGTTAAAGCACAGCCCTGTGAAGCTATCACAGCCACTGCAGCAAGAGTTCAATCCCCAGGCAGGAAGGTGACCCACATTGCATGGCAGACCTCTCCTGACCCACTCGCTGCTCCCCTCAGCAGTGTATTTCAGTACAGCTGCCTGTTCTGCTCCCCACTCTGTCTCTGTTGAATCCTCTCACCTCCCTGCACCTCTGGTCTGTACCTGAGTTCTGTCTGTACAAATAGATAAATCTTTAAAAATGTCCACTTTTTTTAAAAAATAAAAGCAACCATCTTATACAAGGCATGTAAATTGTGCTTTGTATAAAGAAAATGCGTTCATCTTGCATGTTGGAATGGATAAAAGGCAAACAGTCTAAAGATTACATTTGTTTTCTAACCCAAAAATTTGCTCCCCTTCCCCCTTGTGACCTGCACTGTCACGTGGCAGCCACCATCAGCCACGTGGGCTACGTGTGCAGCAACCAAGATGCCCAAAAGTGTAAAATGCCACATTCCGAAGAGTACAAAAATGTAAAAATAGTGCAATGTTATATTCTGCATGTGGATTACATATCAAAGGATAATGTTTTGGAGATACTGGATTAAATAAAATAATTTAAAACTAATCATACCCTTTCTTTTTTACCTTTAACGTATAGTTATGTGTGTGTGACCTGTATTATACTTCTACTGACACTACTGCAGCAGAATACATAATAACATTAAAAGTTTCAGTATGTTGTCCAAAAGAAAGCTGGTTCACCTGACAGAAGAAGAGAACTCAGAAAAGCTAAAGCAGAATAACTCTAACAACTTTCTTTAGTGGTGAGATAGTTTGGTTTGTATTTAATTTACAATTCTTTTACTTAAGTTATAAAAGCTAGACATATAGGTTTTCCCATAACTTATATATATACTTAAATTATTATAATAAGACCCACATCAAGTCAGGTCTACAAATGGTGTTTCCCTCCCCCCCGCCTTGAGTATATCTAGTACTTCTTAGATTTACACCCACATTTGTCAAAAAAATACATAAACCCACAGAGATAGCCACTTGACATATTTTCTATTCCAATATTAAAGGCTGATGGGAAGAACATTATTTTCAAAGCACATTCTGCCAAAAGAATATAGAGCCAGTATATTTTAATACATTCTAGTTCACACCCTCACATAGCAGTATGGAGTAGAAAAGAATGTGCCTGAAACATTTAAACAAGAATAATACTACCTCCCTCCTGCCCCCAAATGCCAATCTAATCTTTCAAAGTTGATCAAATTCAGATGTCAAAATGATCAGAAGCCATCTCTGCCATCCGCCGTGCTGGTGTGTAGAAATGGACAAATCATTGTCTGTCACTGACCACAGGGCACATGAAATCTGGACCATGGGCAGGATATAACTATCTATGATGCAACAGAAAATGTGCTATCCTCTGGCAAGACAGAAGTAAATGTAGAAGGAACAAAACAGTAGCTTGGCATGCAGTGTTGGAGAAAGTACTGAAGGGCACGCAAGCTCACTGGGGAGCTGCGAGAGCTGGTGGGGGTGGCTGCAGGGGGCCTGGGGACCAGAGGCTGGGGCAGCTGGGAGGAGCTGGGGTTAGGAGGGATGAGGACAAGTCCCCTCTTGGGCCTCCAGGCTACCATGCTCTATTTTTACAAAGGGTAAGAGCACAGTGTAAGGCGCCTTCAGAGGCCATATGGAGATTGGTTTAGACAGGACAGGATGCCCATCAGCCAGCTGAGAAGCTATGATGAATTCCGGACCTATGCAGGTAGAGTAGATAGATGGGGAGCGAGGAACCTAAGGAATTTCAGAGCATCAACAGGATTAGTCTGATGAGTGAGGATACCTGAGTTCAACCTCTGCGACTTACAGCACATGGTGTGGATGTGGGTTATGGAAAAAATGCAGAATCAGTCTGATGGCTGAAAATGAGAATTAGCTCAGTTTTTGATGTGCAGTATTTCAGGAATAGCATATAATTCTGTATGTGCTATTAATTCCAGACACTGTGCACCTCATTTAATCCCCATTACAACACTACAAGGCAGGAATTGTGACGTGCAGGAAACATGTCTGGGCAACTAGGTCAAGGTCTTCTGAAACCAGTCTGAGTCCAGAACCTCCCCGCCATCCTCTGCCCCCTTAATCTCTAGGCTACATGTACCCGATTATCTGGTGTCAGAGTCCAGTAAAGAGAAGGGCATTTCCTCTACTGAGGCACAGGAAAGGAGAGGGAGATGTCAAAGGAAGAAGCGTTAGTGTGGCAGGAGGGGCGGCCATCTGCTAAGAACACAGTGAGGAGGCAGGAAGATGCAGGACCCAGTGCAGCTTCCATCAGAAGCCTGGAGAGCCTGAAAGCCGGATCCTTGAAGGGGCCCTGCCATGCCGCAACCCTTATGGGCGAACATGGGGAGCCCTGGGCTGAGTCCTGTCAAGCAGCCCATCCCAGAGCTGTGGTTTCCATGTGGTCACCCTGCACAGCCGCAGACCACAGAGCCACAAGGGTGATTACCTTTAAGGAGAGGGCAAGTCGGTCCCGGATGTAGTTCTCTTCTGTTTTTGCCTTTTCAATTTCCTGCTCAAGCTCTAAACGCTGCTTGCCCACTTGTTGCAGGATCTGCTCTCGCTCCTTTCGGAGCTCATTCTTTAAGGCTGCTATACGCTCCTTATACTCTTCATCCAGTTTCCTGTGAGAGGAAAGATTAATGAGCTATCATCGAATTCCACCTAAGTGGACCTACCAAAAATGGGAGAGCAGAGGCAGAGAGACAGAGAGTGCCTTGAGAAGGTACGTACTGCCCCTACCTCCTGGTAGGCCAGGAATGGCCAAGCAGGAGGGCAGGCCCAGGGTGGGGGAGGCCCTCCCAGTCTCACCTGAGGTTGTGCTCATGCCGCCGCTCGATGGCCGCGTGGTGATCGTCCACTTCAGAGGCCATGAGAGACTTGAGTCTCTCGGCTTTGTCCAGATCTGAGCGTAGCTTCTCTTTTTCTCTGGCTACCTGATCAACTCGCTCCCTAGCATTAGAGAGAAACCTAGTTAAAGAGAAACTGTTTCTAAGCAACAAGTAGACCCCCAACACAACTCTCATCTGGCTTGCTCCAATACAAAACCAAAACCAAGACAACCCAAACCCTCCCCAAACAAAACAACAAGAAATTCCACAGCTCCTTTCAAAAGCCAATGTACAAATCTGAGCTCTACTTCATCCTCCTACAATTTAAGGAAGATTTGTGCCATAGTGAGATGATGGGCCATGAGCCACATTTGCGCAGAGAACGAGGGATGTTTGTTGTAGGCAGACCGCAACCATTCTCTGGACAAGCAGGAAAGGGGCTGGAGCAGGTAAAGCCTGCACTCAACTCACAGCAAATGCCGGATCTCAGCCTTAAAACTGGCCAGAGCTGCCTGGTGAATGCTATTCTTTGTGATCAAAAGTTCATTTTCAAGAGCCAGTGTCAATTCTGTCAAGTTGACATTTCCATCAAGGTTGAAGTCTAAAGCCTGGAAAACAAGTTCAAGATGATCGTAAGCCGTAGCCTCTGAAAGCTGAGAACTGGGAGATTTGCAGACCCAGAGAATTGAGTTGGTAGTGTAGATGTTAGCTGGTTACATTTCTTTAGTAATTGCTTAAGAATGATATTCAATCTAGAACATACCAAGTGCTCTCTAAGAAAACCATAAAATGGTTCTTTGCTTGTTTTTGAAAAATACGCTCTGTGAACACAGTGGTATAACTCATCTTTCCTAGACAGAGATCACCTAGGAGCATTTCTCCTGTCAATAATTTGGGAACTAACAAACATGGAGGTAGTTAGCAACACTATCCTGATTGAAGGGGGCAGGGAAAGTTACCTCACCTCTGAGAGTCTGTGAATAGAAGAATCATAAAGAAGAAATCAAATAGAGTTTCATAAAAAACACTGGCATCTCCAACCCTGCCCCAATATACCACTTTTCTCCCCTTCTAGCGGCCCCACCTTCAGGATTTCCTGGCTGTTCTCTATGCCTTCTTCCTGCCAGGCATCCAGGATCCTCTCCACAGTTGCATAGCCCATCCCATCATCCAGGCAGGAGAAGACCCGGAAGCCAATGGTAGTCATCATGGCTGAAGGGGTGGTAGTTCGTCGTCCACTCTCATCGAAAGACTAGAAGAAGAAAGAGACTTGAGCAAGCCTGGGCATTTCAACAAGACATTGACTAAGACCAAGATTGGTCAGTCCTGCCCACAAGAAGCAGAAAGCATGTGTCTCTAATTTGCTGTGCTAGAAAAACAAGTCATGGAGCCCCTTTGATCTGCCTTTCCCAAGTTGAGTCAAGAGTATAAAGCTTATCTCAAACACTTATCTGAAAGAGAATCCCTTGAGATAGTGAGATGTGTCTCTACTTAACATTAGAGTTTCTTCTGACTCACAGCTAACGTTAAGGGGGAATAATTAGTGGTCTTCCTACTCTGTAATTTATGGCTATTACTTAAACCCAACTTTTCCTTCCCTATGGTTTGGTTCTTCTTATTCTTTTGCTCCTTTCTTTCTCCCTTGTACTTCTCAGACAACAGATTCATTAGAAACTCTCTAAGTGAGTTTTAAACTTGAGTACACACACGCCAACATTCCTATTTATTTCTTACTTGCATGGAGAGGTGTCTTTTCAGTTGTCTATATGGAGTAGATGCGGATGTCGTAAGGGATTTCCCATTTTTGAACAAGCCGTAGAAAAAATCTTCTACACTCATTGTCCCATCAGGATTAAGATTATGAAAGACTTCTTCAAGCATCTAGAAAAGGGTTACCACATATTTCAAATATTTCACTCAAAATAACACAAGGCCTGAAGTATAATTCTGGCCAATAGAAATTGGCACATTACTTATCAGAGGACTCCAGAAATTTTTCTCTTTGTTCTCATTTCACTGAATTTATTTTCCTTTCAATAAAATGTCCTTTTCTTTCACAGAAACCTAATAAAAGGCCATTTTTGCCATCATTGCAATCTCACACAATTTAGCAATTGACTGATTTCTCTCCCTCTTTTCTCATCCACTTAACAGGTAATCTTTTCTATTACTATACATTGTTCTTATAAATTAAAAATTTTCTTAAATAACATAAGGATAAAACTTCCCAGTGTTGTAATAATAGAAAACAGTTGAGCGTTCATTAGGCCATTATACTGTGGCAACTTCATGGAATATTTTGCTTATATGGAATTTTTGAAATTGGTATGTTAGCACAGCAGAATTTGGCTTGGCCCAGACTGCAGTGATCTAGGAGTCTGATCTGAAACCCATGATTTGAGCTTTAGAGCCCTACTTGGAACAACACTGCATCTGTTGGGTTTCATTTATTTTAATGCTTTAACACAGGAGAAACACAAATTGGGTAAGGATTGTGTGTGTATGCAGTAGTCATACAGAACAGGAAATTGTGTTAGGCTACTCTGCACTCTTGATGGTAGTCAAGCAGTCCTCATACAGCTAGGAAAGGGGAGCCCTTACTACTCATCTTGAGGTTTGCGGATGATCTGTTCCTTAAAAAAACAGAAAGGGAACAAACCAGCATGAATCACTGACACCACAAACACAAGGGGAGGCAAGAGGTTCTTTCTCCTTGTAGCTGGATTCTCCATGTTGTGGGCTTAATATTTTCTACAGGGCATTGTCTCCATGCTACAAAATAAAATCACCTAGAGGTCTTGTTAAAATGCAGACTTTGGTAGTAAGTCAGGAGGTGGGGTCTGAGACTTCATTTCCAGTAAGGCTCAGGTAAGGCTCATGTTGCTGGGATGCAAGGAGATGAAATAAGAAAAAAAATTATTCCAACTGCACAAACACAGACAATGGGTCTACTCAAAGGCATCTGTGTAAGACAGCCTCAAAATTTTCACTATTCAATTTATAAATCTGAACTATTGCCAGACTTATGTGTTCTCTTAATTGTTGATTTTATTCTTCGTATAAGACTTTGAGGAATTATCTCAGATGCTTTTGGTCAAATCACATCCAATAGGAAACATCTGTTTCCATTTTGTGTTTACACCACTTCCTCTGGAGAGGGCTCTGAAACAAAAAAATCATTCTGAAGAGAGGGAATCATTGGAAGAATTCTTGTTTTGAGACAATGCCAACTCATTCATTAACATCACTTTCCTGGCCTTGTTGGGATTTGGGCTTGTGACCCCTTTCATGATACATTATTTTCCAACATACACATGGGTGAGTCACTGATACAGACACCTGGCTACCTTATCATGAGGTGTTCAAGAAGGTCCTTGGGGCTCTAGATGCAGCTCTGTAGAGGGCACCCCGTTTCCATTTCACCTGCATGCTTAATAAGGGAATTCTGCAATGAAATCAATGGAAAGTTGCCATTTTTGGCAAGACTCCGAGGTTGCCAAAAACGCTTAGTTTCTTTGTCTTATTCTTATCAACCAAAAGAAACCCTTTTTTCAGAGGGCTAGGCTTTTAGGACAACCCAACCAAAGTCACAGTAACATCCAAGGGTGCTGACTGAAGTTCACAAGTATATTTGTGCTCTCTCCTTAGCACCACATTGTCTGGCCTGTAAGCTTGACCAAAGCAATACACAGCTTCCAGGCTGCCTAAAAGCCCTCATTCATTTAATGGAGCAAGTGAGTCCTGCTAGTTACTGTACATGGGGTGAGAAGTGTGCAAGACGTGAATCAGAGGATGTGAATCAGGAGAGGCGGATGGGCAGGGTTGGGCTGACAAGCAGGCAGGTCAAATGGAAAACTGGGCTCCCTCTACAGAGCTGCATCTAGAGCCTCAAGGATTTCTTGAATGCCTCATGATAAGCCAGGTGTCTGTATCACTGACTCACCCATGTGTATATTAGAAAATAATGTACCATGAAAGGGGGTCACAAGCCCACATCCCAGCAAGGCCAGGAAAGTGATGTTAATGAATGAGGTGGGATTGTCTCAAAACACAAGAACGTAGTGTCATTTTATGTGAACCCCCTAAGCTTGTCCTGTCAGAGGAGTCAATCACTTCTCAGTGCCAGAAAAATGGAACCCCATCTTCTGATTTTTAAAAAAGAGTTATTTGTTTATGCATACAGAACTGGGGTATAGGCCAGAGGTGCAGAGGGTGAGAGAACTCACCAGAGACAGGGTGGGGAGCAGAACAGGCAGATCAATGAGGTACACTGCTGAGGGGAGCAGCGGGCAAGACAGGAGAGGTCTGCCACAGCCATGTGGATCACCTCTAGGACCAGGGATCGAACCGGCATTGAAGAGGCTTCCTCTAGCTTGCAGTGCTGTGCCTTAACCCACTACACCATCAGGGAGGGCCCCCCATCTTCTGATTTTAAGACAAACTTCCCAATTGGAAAAAGTGTAGCAAAAGTTCAACTTCAAGAACACTGGGCAGCCCATATAAAGTAGCACGGCCCTATGTGGCATGTAGGGTGACAGCTGGCTATCCCAAGCCCACAGCTTTCCTGTGGAAGTTACCAGTGAAAGCCAGGAGACAGTGAAACTAGTCCCCCTTCCTGAAAGTGGTCACAAGCAGCAATGGTATCAAATGAGGGGTGACTAATCTAAAATTGCTTTCAGTTACAAGTTGTATGTTGGTGAGATCATCCTGAACTTTCAGTTCCTCTGTGGTCTAGAGCACAGAATACAAAGTCCTATAGTATTCCATGACTTTCTTTTTTTTAATGAAAGACATTAAGTAAAAACTATATTTGATAGGCAATCCTCTACTCAATCTCATGGCAGAGGAAAATAAGTGTGTTACTTCTTCTGCAGGATCCTTGGAAACTCCACCACAGAAGAAAATTCAATTTTCCTCAAATGGTTACAGTTTATTCCAAAAATTGTTTTTAGGTAATAATCCAAGTTTGTGCAACATTTCTTGGCAAAAACAATTCAAGTTTCTATATACTGCACTGATTCATAATTCAGAAGGATGAACTTAATTTTCTGACTCAACAGTCACCAATGAAAAATAAATAACCATTGAGCCATTAAAAAGGTAGTCAAAATGCTGATTATGGTCACACACACAAGGAAGAAGGGAAAGACATTTCTCCAAGTTTTAGACACTTTTGATGGTAAATCTCATTCTGGTTTAGGAAAATATTAACACATATCTCCCGGGCAAACAGACAGCATGGTTTCAAATATCCTGTAATCAGATTCCCAAGGCCAAAACTGTAGTCCTAACCTCTAAATCCCTCCAATCCTATGTTTTGCTCTTTGGAAGACATACCTTGGCATCACTGAGTTTCATGACTGTTCATGTGGCCAGGCTTGCCAGTTTCCTTCTTAATTTTCCCATAAATGTAAAGCTCAGAGTCTTTCCAAGCCAAGAGTCTTAGAGGACTCCAAGCATCTTCATCTGTTCAAAACCATCAACCTATCTCTTTCCTCATCAGCAAAATACTGTGTTGGCTCCTAACCAAAGGTTCTTTTAACACCAACCTGCGCTGTGAAAGTAACTCAGACCACCCTCTGCAAGGAAGGATACTCCTAGGTTATTACTACGTCTGCTGATCCTGAAGTGGTATTAAAATTTTCTCTTCCAAACCCTAAATGTCTCAGTCTGGCCTCCAGAACAGTCCCCAACTCAAGCCTATTGGTCTCCTTTTTGTGCCCCTCATTTTGCAGTGTGGATGCTACTCCACAGATATGTCTGACATTACAGCAACACTGCAAACGTCTGGAAATTTCATGGGGTAATGTGCTCAGCACAATAACAGGCTCAGATGGGCAGTTTTTCTTTCCACAGTACAACATGAAAAAACCTTCACTGCTAACTTCCTAGCTGAAAAAAGCCAAGAAATAGCTGCCCTGAACGGGAGCTAGTTTAGCTCTTGTCAAGATTATTCCTCCTGATTAAAAGCTAGGTGTGCTGCTTTATTTACAATTGGAAAAACATGGAAGCAGCCCAAATGCCCAAAAGTAGATGACTGGATTAGAAAGATGTGGTACATATATACAATGG